CTAGACTTCAAACCCAAGCGGGTCGACTACGCGGGACTCCGGTCCGGTCGAACAACAGAATTCATGAACTTCTTCGTGCTGGATGGTGCCGACATGGTGCTTCGCCATGTGATCATCTACGGGGTCTCGGGCTTTGATCGGCTGGGCCACACGCTCAACGACATTTGGATGCCGGATATCAAGCGCAACCAGCTCCCCGGCGTTCTTGCCGGCCTCGCGCCCATCCGGTCATTGGTGAATGTGGGCGGGGGCGTGCGAGACCTGGTTGTTGTGCCTATGCGCGAATACCAAAAGGACGGCCGGATCGTCCGGAGCATCCAGAAAGGCGCCCTCGCCTTCGCCAAGACCACCTCCAATGAGCTAGTCAAGCTGGGGGCCAAACTGGCCATCGGCACGCAAACCGTCCTCCAGGGCGCTGAGGATCTCCTGACCTCTCCGACTGCCGCGGTGGCATCAGAGGAAGACCAAGTCGACGAAGACGAAACCAAGAAGATTTCTTTGTATGCCGACCAGCCCATTGGAGTGGTCCAGGGTCTCCGCGGTGCCTTCACGGGTCTCGAGCGTGACCTGCTTCTGGCGCGCGATGCCATCGTCGCCGTGCCGGGAGAGGTTGTGGAAAGTGGCAGTGCCCGGGGCGCCGCCAAAGCCGTGTGGAAACATGCGCCCACGGTGATCCTGCGTCCGGCCATTGGTGTCTCCAAGGCCGTGGGCCAGACCCTGCTCGGCGCGGGGAATACGCTAGACCCGAGCAACCGGCGGAAAATGGAAGATGTGAGTGGCGTTCCCCTGCTTTATGTCAAGGATAGACTGACTGACTGCTCCTACCAGAAATATAAACGACATTGACTGAATCTCGGCATTGTGGATTGAAGTAGATACCCTTTTTTTTTTGTCTTTTCTGTTTCTGTTGCTGGCAGTTGCTCAACACTCACGATTACGACGCATGAAATGTACCACGACTGGAACGACTGACTACTTACTTTGGATCTTGTCGCATGTGCACACCACGAATGCTGCCTCGGGAGTTCATTTTGGTTCATTTTCTTTCTTTTTGGCTTGTGAATACTTCTAGCGCACTTGAGCGTAAATTGAATTGGACGATCTATGCTAGCAGTCCCTTCCACCACCCTTCTAGAAGCACGCAGGTCTCCCAATCCAGCGATCTCGCCACCGGAACCCTGGGGGCTGAGGCATCCACCGGGTGTCCATGTGCCCCCATGCATAGGGCTGCAAAGCCACGCCTGCAGCCACGGACCGCAGCCACGAGATCGGCACTGCAGGTGTGTACACCATTAGGTTGGGGCATTCTCGTGGTATACCCACGGTTAACACGAATGTCATGATTCATACACCGAGGCCAGCACGGGCTGGACCGCCTGCCCTGTTATTCATCCTCAGGAACTCCTCCGAGATTCAGCCAGCTTTTTTGTTCCAAAAGTGGAGAATTCGCTGATGAGTGATTCTTGCCACCGCCGCCTGTCAGCCAATCGATCCCCCTGGCTCAGCCGCAAGTGATGCATCGATCGGCCTCAATCGGCGCCCCGACTGGCTGCAACGGCCCAGAGGGCTGGACGGCATCACTGTTATGCTGGGTGATTGGCTGCAGGGACAAGTTAACTACGCAGGTCATCTACTAAACTAGGGTGTGGGAAAAATAATCCCTCCTTACATCCCCCACAGACTCACTCACTAATTCACGAGACTGTGACACAAGAAACCAGCCTCGTTCTAAAAGAAGATTATTTTTTCTCTGATCATCCGGAAATGGCAAGGTGACGTCGACCACTGGTACCGCCTGGCGCATAATGCCCATTCTTCATGGCCGAACCACCGGTTCGCCTTAAGAAGACCCATCGTTCCTGGTTCCAGGCCTTCCAGACTTACCCAGGTACCGGTCCCGACTGTCCCGGTCTGTTCCTACATAAACCTACGGGCCCTGGCTGTCTTGCGATGGGTCGACTTGACTACTGCGTCCCTTGCAGCGTTGTTGGGGTGTCTTCTTGTGACGCATCACTTTTTCCCCACGAGATGGCCCATACCGCCTCTTTAATGCCATATTGAAGCGAACCACCATCAGAGGCAAAAAAAGCAAATTAAAGATGGCGGATGACTTGGCCGACTCGATGCGTCTTTGGCGCTATGCTAGCGAGCTGCTGGGCAGCTCGTCTAGTACAGACGACCTTCACGACAGGCACGCCCCTCGCTCCACCAAGGGTTTCACGGGAGCACTGTCCCTTCACGATTACCGCAAGTCGCTGTCGCAGTCGCATGAGCGCGTCGGCGATCTTGTCGATCGCGGTGCAGGGAGAACGCTCAAGCGCAAGCCCCGGGCCCTGAATTTGAATTTGAACAAGTCCACCCCGGCGCTCTCCTCTCTTTCTTCCTATCCGGTGTCTGTGTCGTCTGCGACGTCCAGCCCTCCTCCGCTGTCGCCGTCGTATTCTCACAGTGTGGTCTCTCAGCGAAGTGAGCAGGACTCTGAGGTCTTTGATAGTATCCCTGGTATGTTTGTCCTCCTAAGCAAACTAACTAGCTCCGACTGACTCTAGACTAGCTCCACGGGTGACTCTTGTCTCGGACAACTCTGCGCGTCCCAGGCCAAATAACCGCAAGCGGGTGGTGAGTTGTCTGAAACAACATGTCTCAAAAGACAGTGCTGACTTTTGTCCCCCCAGAACACCTTCCGCGAGAAACGACAGAGTATCGCCCATGCCCCTGCTCGTCATTCTCCTCTGGCTCAGGAAGATCCCAAAATGCTGGCACATACCACCCAAGCCTCCGCGACGATCTCGCTCGGCGGGGCGTCGTTTGAGATCTTGAATCCGCGCAAGTCGCTGGATGTGGCACGCATCGTCTCATTCATTGAAGATGTTGATGGCTGCTCGATGTTCTCCGACAACAGACGAGACTCTCGGATCTCGTCCACCGCTTTCTCTCTCGAACAGGGTCTGGACCGCATCTCCCTCTCCCAGTTCACAGATGCTTCGCTGCCCTCGCATTACTCCTCGCAGTCTCTATATTCTTCTCTTCCGGGGCTCTACCCCATGCCCAGGTCGCCACTAACAGGGAATGACCGGATTCGTTCCCTGTCTGAATATTCCACCGACTTCCAACAGGCCGATTTGACATCGCCGCCTCTTGATGATGATAACCACGTACACTACTACGAACACGACCAAATCAACCACGACCTCCTCAGCGACTCAGCACATAACAGCAATACACACATGGCTTCCATCCCCGAACGTTACAATGAAATAAGAGAGCCATGTTCTTCTTCCTCCCAACCATCCTTGTACTCCGAAGGCAGCGACATCGGCGAACCCGGATCCCCAGTCTACGCCAACGGCGAATGGGCCCAGGTCAACGAGCGAGACCGCGGTATCTTCTTCGACCTACCGCAGCCAGCAATCTCTCCCGCCATTTCTCCATCCTCCACTGTACCCCCGACGCCCGCTCACTCGGACACGTACCGCCCTTTCCCGTCATCTAGCTACGCAAGCCTCTACGATCCGTACGACCCTGTCTTTCTAGACCCGCATATCCGCGAGGTGTTAGCTGCTGCCACAGCTGAGAACATGGGCCTCCGTGCCTCTGGCCCGGCGCGCGCGCTGGACGACCTGCAGCGCCGGTCTCGCGATCCCTGGTCTGGACAGTCGGGAAGTCGCAGAAGTAGTGAGCGAAAATCTTCGTTTTCGCAGCGGGTGGGCTTTCGGAAGTTTTTCAGCTGGCGTGGTGGTAACTAAACCTAGATCTCCTCTGTTTTTCTTCCCTTCTTCTTCTTCTTCTTCTCTTATGTGATATGATATCATATGGATTTTGGATATGCCTGATGGATGGAATGATGGACTTGGGATACGGGTTAGTTCTACAACTTCTTATTTTCTTCTTGTATACTACTTTTTTCCTCACTTCTATCTGAGTCAGAGACTCTTTTTTGTACTTTTTGTATCAATAATTCATGGAATACATGATCACTGAATCGGTTCTCTTCATTCATGATCTCCCAGGCTGGTCTTAGTGCTGGTAATTGAAGCATATATATAGTGGGAAGAGAGGGTCGCGGAGTGTAAGAATCAAATAAAAGTCAGATAAAAAAGTGACTTGAGGTTTTGAACCCCTGGTTTTCAAAAAGATAGCAGCAGCCCGCCCGTGTATAGGGCTGCAAGGGAGCAAGCTACCAATTGTGCAAGGTGGCAGGTCACTCCGCAGCATCACCGGTCAAGTTTGTATCTTGAACAGAAAAATACTTGGAACGGTACATATAGGAAAAAAAATGTCCCAAACGGGCAGGGCACTATGATCCGGGACAACCTCAACAACGCTGAACAGTTATCTCTCAATAAGTATATCTCGAAATACTTTATGATCCCATTAGTATCATACATATGTCGTAGGAAATACTCTGATATACATCTTTTATTGCATTTACTATGTTTTGGAGTGTGCCGTTCAAAGTGGATTCCGTTAACCTCCGGATGTTGTGGCCTGGCAGCCGAGGTGTCAAATACCCCACGACGACGGGCAGGTGGTTCCGGTCCCCCGATCGTCTTTATCTTGGCCTCGTCACTACGCGATCTCCGAGGTATTATACTCTGCTATCTAGTGAATGTCGGAATATCCCCGGATTTTGATGCTGGATAACCTGAACACACCAATGAGTCCACTCCGGCTATGACTCGCCGAACCAAATCTCGTCGAACGCATGAACTCGGAGCTTGCACGACATGCCGACGTCGACATGTCAAGTGCGATCAGAAACGGCCTTCATGTGAAACATGTCGTTCTATGGGGTTCACTTGCGACGGATTTCCTGATGAGGTGCGGTGGATGCCAGAAAAACCGCATCTTCCTTCGCAGGATACCCAAAATGGGAAGCGCAATCAGACGAGAAGAAATGGCTTAAGACGCCATTTATACAGCGGTAAATCATTCTAGCACCTGGTAGCGTTTTGTGTGGACACGTATTGACTCGCACGTCAGAACAATCAAGGATTTCGATGGGTACTGCCTTGAACAGGGGCCTTTTATCGGGATCCATTGATGCGTCTTTGGAAGAGATTGAAGCAAGATCAACATCATCATTTTCTCTACAGGATGGTATCAAGATTGGTCCATTTGCCGTCCTGAATTTGACTTCTGCTTCTAATGAACCACGGGGCTCATTTGCCAGCAATACCACGCAGAGAACAATCGAACAATCGCATCCCGAAGCCTCCACTGATAAACTACATTCAACGCATCCATCTTTTCCATCTGAAGATTTGCTGGGACTTCCAGATGACTCATTACAGTGGTCGGATATCTTTGGTCTCAATGATAACTTGTACGGGATTACGTCCAATTTCTCTTTCGACTCAATGAACTGCCCGAACTTTCCTCCTTCTTCCCGATGGCTTGTTTCCGAGAGCGAGATGTACAATGCATCTTTAGCGATGAATCTGGATCTAACGCATAACATGGTCCACGAGGAAGGACAGTCACATTGCACAAGCATCCTACAGGCTACTCTGGACAGTCCTGTAGCCTCAGTTGATATCCTCAAAGATGCTTCCTTTCTGCTCAAAGTTTTCCAAAAACACGTCGTGTCTCAACTTACTATCGTTCCTCTGGGCAAGAAAGCACCATGGAACATATTGAATCTGCCCGCGGCGATTATAACACTTGCAGATTTAACAGTCATGGAGTCGCAAGATGTTAGTCAAGCCCGACAGGCTAATCTCTTCAGTCTTATTTCATGCTCTGCTATGTATCTGTCTGTTACGCCGTCCGCTGGGTTTGGTGATTCAATCTCGGTAACCCACTGGCAGCAAGTTGCCAATCAAGCATATCTTGCGGCCCAGAATCACATGCGCATCTCATTGAGCAAGGAGACTGAAGGCCCAACCAAAGCCAAGTATAAGGACCAGCTGATGGCGATATGCGCGATGATAGAATCGGCGGTAAGCAATTCCCACGCTCTTTTGCACCCGACGCGACGAAAGTTAATCTATGAAGATCTTCCTCGGTCAACACCAAGCCGTGCGATGCTATATGATCGATGCTGAACGACTTCTGCGACTCCGCGGATTAGTTAAAAGCAAGACCTCACACAAAGCTCGCCTACTAATAAATGTCTACTCGTGGCTGCGCATCGTGGGCGAAAGCACGTATATTCTCCACGACTTCAGCCCCTCGAACTTGTTCATTGATTCTCTGAGTCACCAAATTCGGACCTGTGGACCACCCAGAAGACTTGATGGTCATTCATCAACGGCGGGGCATAATGTCCGTCTAGACGATTTTCTTGACTTAGAGCATTCGGATGACGACCTCAACATTGACGAGCCAAAGGACCAGAACAGGGATATTCCCGATATTCACCTCCGTGACTCGAGAAGATCCGCGCACACTCTTTCGAAACAAGCCTATGGCCTCTCAGAGACTTGGCTAAGCCTGGTCTCTCAAACTGTCCGGTTGGCCAACGTCTTAGAAAAAATGGAAGCCGCACAAGGCACCGAAATACAGATAGACTCCAAGATCTGGAATTTTTTGCAGAAACGGAGTAATCGCCTCGAAAATGTGATCCACTCGTACGGTATTCGAAACAATGATTTCGATCCCTCGGAAGTGCCGCCGGCGCCTTATTCCCACGTTCTGCGAGCTTTTAACGCTGCGCTGGTGATTCTCTTCTACAGGCGAGTTCGAAAAGTGCACCCAGGAATTTTACAAGGCCATGTTGATGCCATTATCACTGCTTTAACGTCCTTGCATGCTACACTACCAGAGGTAGAGCATACTGGTCCTGGGACACTATGGCCAATTTTCCTAGCTGGCTGCGAGGCAATGACAAATGAAAGACGGTGTGCTATCTTGGAGCTAGTGAAACGATCACAGGAAAGATGTGGTCTTGCCCCTGTCAAGATTGCGGAAGATACCATGGCTGCTTTATGGAAACGACAGGACGAGCATTTCGAGGCGAATCGTCGTGAGCCTTTCCCGACCTGGATGGATATTCTAAAGAAACAGAAAACCTGGCCCCTGCTTTGTTGACTTCAAATCCTCGATATCAAGATGTTTCCTCTTCTTTGCTGATAAGAATTGTTTAATAAAGTCAGTAGTCAGGTTTCAGAAATAGACAGAAAGTTTTGTCTTATTCGTATGAGGCAGGTCGCTCTCTACAAAAAGAGGGGACATAGACATAGAGTACAGACCCGCTATCGGGCAACTTCTTCCGTGAGGCATGCAAGTCGTTCCGGACAGCCCCTGGAATTGCCCGGGCGAACCAATAGCAAACGCTCTTGTCTTGCGTGGTGGCCCACTAGCCAATTATACCCCGCGACCAAACCTTATCATTTGGTTGGCCTGAGTTTATTTAAGTAGAATCGTATACTGTGTAGAAAATGTTAAACCACCTCAAATAACACCCTTGCATGTCACTAAGCCTGAGCAAAGGTCGGCAGTAAGGTGATACCAATTTCGGAGAGTACTGTACGAGTAAAAGTTGAAGGTTAACTTTCTGAATGATTGAAAGCACTGAATTGATAAGTCTGTCTATGATATACATTTTGATCTCTCGTAGGCCAACAAAATGCGCGAGTCTTGCATTTTGGTAGAACACGATCAGCCAAAGACTTTGCGTGTATCAACGTTTGAGGCTAGATAGTGTCGTAGTACTGGAATCTTGACATTCAAAAGCCGCACATCTCCAAGTTATTTTTAGAGACCCTCAACTCTGCCTTTAAAGACGACTTCTATATGTGGTTTTGCCTTGCGTCAACGACTTCACCAAATCCCGAACTTTCAAGGCCGCCCCATAGCTGTATACATAGCCAAGGCCGCCGAATCCATATGCGTGCACCACCTTTCCCTCTGCTTCAAGGCGATAGCCCCCTTTTCTCCCAGGTCGAAAAGCGACGATGTTTTTGATATTGTCGTTCTTCAAATCCACAGAATCAAAGCGTCCCGGAGAAAGTTTCTTCGTTCTTTCAAGGATATCAGGTCGCAAATTCTCGTCCACGTTGCGATCTAAGTTCCCTTCCTGACTCACTCCGCCCATGATCGCACCTCCCGTATACATTCGTGGAATAACATACGAGTATTGCGATCCTTGCAGCATCACGAGCTCATCGAAGTCGGTTTCCACGAACATTGTTTGTCCGCGAATAGCTACCACGTCGTTGTCGCCCGCAAGATGAAAAGCACCGAGTCCAGATGCATGAACAACGATGCTGCATCCCGTAATCTTTTCTGCTTCTTCGATGGATTTGAGTTCTTTGCGAATAAACCGTACTCCGCGAGTCTCTAACTCTTTCTTGATCCAAGGAAGGAATACCGCGGGGTTGAGTGTCATGGTTTGGAAAGTGAACCCTACTGTTGCACCTGCGGGAAGGTCACCTGTAGGGATTCGACAATAGTGTGGCACAAGATACTTGTACCAAATACTCGAATCATCCGCTCGATCATCGTAAAATTCGGTTGCTTTGACTACCTAGTTCGTTGTTTCCATAGTCAGTGAAATGAATGAGAGATAGTTGGGATTATTCGTACCTGGACCCCACTAGTAGGATCTCGGTGTGCAAGAGCCCAGTAATACCTGAAGGTTTCCGCCTGGAGGGAATGCCCTTTCGCATCTGGATGAGGAAATATTGCCGCCCCAGCCCTGTCAAGTAACAAGTCAGCTTCCGACTTATTATCCTGCAACTAGTCGCTGGAAGGGACAACATACCAAGGGCTCGCCCAGTCCTGGGTCTCATCTCCCGGTAAGTCGCGTGCGATAATAGTCACTGCATAACCAGCTTCGGTAAGAGTGAGAGCTGATAAAAGGCCGACTATACCCGAGCCAACTATAGCCACGTCCATTTTTAGACTATAAAGCGAGTCGTGCTTCTCACGTAGTTTGGCTTCATGACGGAGGAGAAACTAACCTTATAAGTATTTCTCGCGCATCGAATGAAATGTGATTTACTTGTGGGGCGGAAGTCCCTTCCCCTTCGACATGCCCATCCAGTAATGCGATCAGGTTGGACGGAGGAAACAGACGCAGTGGGGCCAGAAATAGTTTGTGATTGGAAGATTCGGAACTGTTTGCCTTCGATGCCCTTTCTTAGTTACTCTTAGGAGGCGTCTTCTATCTAGTCTATTTCAAATCAGTGATGAGCGTAGGTGACTAAATATACACTCTATATTTCAATGTTATAATAAAATCGGGTATCAATCTGAAGATATATACAATGAAGATTCAGAATGAATTCCCGATCATCCTTCCTCCACCAAATTCGCCAGCGCAGCACTAACCAGACTCTTCCGTCTCAGTCCATGCTCGCTGCGCTTAGACGGAACCGCACTCTGACTTTTCTCAACCCTGTTCGCTTGAGGCAGCAGAACCCCAGCAGAACTGCTCTTCCGCCGGGCATGGGAAGTCGTAGTCCCTTGTCCCGATGCAGAGACAGAAGAGTCGGGGCTGAATCTGCTGCGCGCTGAAGTGGCCGTTCGTCGACGTGTCGGGGACCGCGGGGGAAGGGAGCTGGGATGGTAACCTTCGTCTCCCCCGGGGCAGTTGTCGTCCTCCTCATCGGCTAGCACTGTTCGGCGAATGGCGTCCAGTTCGGCGGGACTACATTGTAGCCGGGCGATGCGCTGCCGCTGCATCCGCACGTTCAGTTGATCGGGTAGTCCGGCACCACCATTACTTGGTGACCGGTCTGCTGCTCTCCTGCCTTGATCCGGAGAGTCCAGGGGCATGGAGGTGGGGCTCGTGCTGGACGAAAGAGGCGACGACAGGTGGTCACTCATCCCGAGCCCTTCTTCGTCGTGGTCCGTATCTGGCGGCGTGAGGACGTACCCTGCGAATCTAGACCCCGGCGGTGCTGCAGAGACAGGGGAAGAGTCGTGGGAGTGTTGTGCAGGGAGAAGGCTATGTTCGTGCAGTTTCTGGGTCAAGGTCGAGATAGACAATCTCTTTGGCTCGTAAGGATATGGCACAGAGGTTGGGGCAGGCGGAGAACGGAAGTAGGAGTTGCGAGAGCGGGAGCCTGACCCGGTTCGAAACCGGTGGGACTGCGGCGATGGACATCGCGAGGAGAGCGGCGAGATCAGCGAGCTGTCGCCGTCTAGCATGATCCGGTCGTCGGCGTCCACTGTGAGTCGTGGCGGGCGCGACGACGGCGACGTAAAGGAGAAGTCCTCGAACATGATGGTGATCCGGGGCCCAGATCAGCGCCGGGCGGGCGGCTGGGGGCAAATGAGGTAGGAAGGAGGATTCTATTTGGTGTCTGTGCAGGATTCTGCACGGAGATCGAAAGGGCCAACTCCGCAACTGTCTGTTCCTGATTTCCTTCGTTCCGCCCGTTATTATTATAGACGGGGAATTCGCCTCCTGCGAAAAAACCAAACTTTGGGTTCCAGCGAATTGAGGGAGGCGAACCACGTGACCGGCCCAGTATAGCCCGATCTATACGGCCCGAACTAAGGTCAGAAGGATTATGATTACCATTTATTCCTACCATTATTCCTGATGGATGCTATGACGAATTACTCCTTCCTCCCACAGACACTCTCAAATACTCCGAGCGTATGTTCCCACACTGTCTTCCGGGTCCCATCGCTGCGATACCCGTTCAAGATCTTCTGGTTCCCAGTCACGGAGCCATCCCAGGAGAGCAGATACGCCCCCGAACCCTTGGTCCCGTCAGATCCACTCACAGCGTCATCAGCCTTGCGATCTCGCGAGGGATAAGTCGAGCTGGTAGCCGCATAGAGATATCTCTCGCCGCTCTGATCCAGAGGAACCATCCACGGGCTCGCCAGGAAGGCAAGAGCATTCGAGCCGAACCGGCCTAGCATTTTGTCCAGCAGGCCTGTGTTCACTCCACCGGGGTAGGCATGGATGAAGGAGGTGGCTGGGTGCGACGCCGCCAGCTCTTCCATGGCCAGGGAGTTCATGGTGGTGGCGTGGTTGGCGCAATTGCGAAGTGAGTAGTTGTTCTTCAGCGGCAGGTCATCCACCAGCAGTTTTCCCTCGTGGCCGGCACTTAGCACGGAGATCGTGCGGGAGAGTTGATTCGAGGTGCCCGCGTTGGTCAGCTGCGGCAACAGGTTGACCAAGAATCGCATGCGCGCATAGTAGTGAAGACTCAGCTTCTTGTCCACGCCTTCGTCGGTTTCTAGGAATGGATTAGCGAGGGAACTTCCCCTCCAGAAAGCAGACATACCGTCGCGGCCCTTGGTGGTCATAATGCCCGGGCTCATGAACAACAGGTTGATCTTGTCCTCCTTGGACTGGATGGTCTTGCAGGCTTCGTCCACGGCGTGCAGGCGCGACACGTCGCACTTGATGAAGCTGGCTTGGCTGTCCTTGTTCAGCCGGCGCAGTTCCTCGATGATCTGGGATGCTTGGCTCTCATTGCGTCCGATGAGATAGACGCGCGGAGAGAGGGTGTGTTTCACAAAGGCCCGGGCTGTGGTTTCGCCGATGCCACTGGTGCCGCCGACTAGAATCCGAGTTAGTATGTAGTGAAGGGATAATTAAAGGTTTACAGCAGGAGGACTATACCGAAGACGGCCACCAGGTTGGGCCCCAAGTCCTTGAGGGCTGAATTATGTTTGCGCACGATATCAAGAGCGACCATTTTGTTGTTTTTTGATCTTGGAGAATAATAATGAGAGCGGCGAGGTGGTTATATAGTGGCGGGTCAGTGCGGAGTTGCGGAGTTAACCTTCTCGTCTTCTTTTATCTTCCACCACGTCACCACCATGGCTGCCTCCCTGAAGAAACCCCTGAAACTGGCCCTGGTGCAGTTGGCATCGGGTAAGTCTTGAATCCTTACGCCTTCGCGTCTCTTCCCGACCAACTAACCAACGCAATCTACAGGCGTCGATAAGGCCGCCAACCTCACCCATGCCCGCAGCAAGGTTCTCGAGGCCGCCAAAGCAGGCGCAGGCCTGATCGTCCTGCCCGAGTGCTTCAACTCCCCCTACGGCACCGCACACTTCCCCAAATACGCCGAGACTCTGCTCCCCTCCCCGCCCACGAAGGAACAGTCCCCCTCCTTCCACGCCCTCTCCGCGATCGCCGCCGAGGCCAATGCCTACCTGGTCGGCGGCAGTATCCCAGAACTGGAACCCACCACCAAGAAATACTACAATACCTCGCTGGTCTTCTCGCCGTCGGGCGCCCTGATCGGCACCCACCGCAAGACGCACCTGTTCGACATTGATATCCCCGGCAAGATCGCCTTCAGGGAGAGCGATGTGCTCTCCCCGGGCAACCAGCTGACTGTCCTCGACCTTCCTGAATATGGCAAGGTCGGGCTGGCTATCTGCTACGACATCCGCTTCCCGGAGGCGGCCATGATCGCTGCGCGCAAGGGCGCTTTCTTGCTCCTCTACCCGGGCGCTTTCAATACCACTACCGGTCCGCTGCACTGGGAATTACTCGGTCGGGCACGCGCAGTCGATAACCAGACATATGTGGCCATGTGCAGTCCCGCGCGGGACGTGGACGCGGACTACCATGCCTATGGGCACAGTTTGGTCGCCGATCCGGGTGCCCATATCCTCAGCATGGCGGATGAGAAGGAGACCATCGTATATGCGGATTTGGATAACGAGACGATCAAGAATATTCGGTCGAGCATCCCGATCTATACACAGCGCCGGTTTGATCTGTATCCGGATGTGAGTGGGGAGAATTAGAACGATGACGAGCCTCTTGTACATAGAGTGAATAAATGAACCCAGATTTGGAGTTTCAACCACATCTCAAGGGTTTTGTCCCATTTAATTTCTCTTAAGCCAGCATGACCGTAGTTCGTTAATTAAAGTAGTTGACCAGGGCCCAGTCGATGCTTGCCTGCCTGAGGCACATTAGTATAGTCACGTGTATTCCACCAATCAGAGTCCGGTCCCACACTAAGCGAGCCACACTCTCAATTTCGAAAAATCGCACTTCCGCTTCGACCATCGACCACCTCTCGCCCACCCGTCGACAACCCCCATTTCAGTCAGTCACCTCATATCTGCCTCTTCTTTTTTGACTCCCTGCTAATTCCCAGCAGAGATGTCCAACGTCAAGTCCGGCAAGAAGACCCGCTCGGCCATCGCCGATGTGGTGTCGCGCGAGTACACCATCAACCTGCACAAGCGGGTACGTTGATCCCCTTTCCTGTTCCCTAACATCTGCGCCGTCGATGGACTCGTCGTGATCTGGAGGAACCAATGGACAGAGAACAACTTCTGGAGATTCCGGAGTTTGTGTGTGGGAAGGTTGTCCATGATTCCGCCATGGAGAACCTTGCCCAGATCAGAATTTGCTTGCAAGACTTGTGGTTGTATCCTACCGGGTTTTCCCGCACGGAGACTCTACTCGTCTTGTCATTTTGCATCTTCTCTTGCCGAATTGTCGACTGGTTGCAGAACCTACGTAACCACACATCCACGCACACACAAACCCGGAAACCCCAAAGAAGAAATTAGTTTGATGAAGTCCACCTCTACGGCCACGACACACAACCATCACGAGCAGAACAATCACCACTCAATGGCATTCGGACGGAAGACTAATTACGCCTTCTTTGCGGGAATATAGTGCCACGGCGTCAGCTTCAAGAAGCGCGCTCCCCGCGCCATCAAGGAGATCCGCGCCTTTGCCGAGCAGGCCATGGTAAGACAGACCACTCTCGTTCTTTCCCCGCCTACAGTCTTTTTCTAATTGTTCTGTGATTGTGTAGGGCACCAAGGACGTCCGCCTCGACCCCCAGCTGAACAAGAAGGTCTGGGAGGCCGGCATCAAGGGCGTTCCCTTCCGTCTGCGCGTGCGCATCTCGCGCAAGCGTAACGACGAGGAGGGCGCCGTGGAGCGTCTGTACTCGCACGTCCAGGCTGTCAACGTCAAGAACCCCAAGGGTCTGCACACTGCCACCGTTGACGATGCGTAAATCTCTTCCATGTCATAAGCATCGCATCTATGATTACGTTGGGGTTTTGTTGTCTGGTCGGGGACTTCTTTCAAAATAAAAATACCTTATTTTCGCTCTATTCCTATCTCTTTCTTGGGATTGTTTACTGTAGGGTGCTTGGATGGTTGGAGTTCCAGAACTACGGCTGCTTGCCGGCACTTAGGACTGCAGCTATTTAGATGTGCAAAAGACCTGCGTAGCTTTGTTGGCTGCCTCGCTGCCCATGTACTTCGCAGCGGCCGATTCTTAGGTTTACAAAGGAAAGTAAAATTCGTTGAACGGAACTGCCATTCCCTGGATAAAGTACAACGGTGCTATCACTTGGCTGAGCCCAGGGCGACGAGCCCGGACCCAGCCAAGTGAATGCAGACAGGAAATGGGAATGACAGAAAGCAACGACAAAAGAAAAACATCTTCGAGGGGATCCTCGAGCCCAAGCAGACCCCAGGACCGAAATCCGGGTCCGCTGGTCTCGAGGGCCCTCGAAGTACAGGAAAACGCAATGCCAGTATGCTCGTACAAATACATGCCCCCCTGACTCCAAAAAATGACTTCCAACAATAAATGTAACGTGAGACGCCCGTGGGGGCACCAGGGGCGTCTCGCTGATGAATTTTGATGGTGTGACAAAAAGAAATAGACCGACAAATTGTATCGGAGATCATGAAGCCGAAGCCCCGTGAAGATATGATGGTGATAGTAAATGTGATTAGTTTTTGATCTCTTCGATCTTGGAGAAGAGCTCAGTGACGTTTTCAGCCTTCGTCCGGATGGCCCAGTGCTCAGGCTGCTTGTTATGATGCGGCACCATCAACTGCACGCTGTTGCCGGCCTTGGAATAGGCGTAGTCACGCTTCAGGTGAGTGTTGAGGATAATGTTGCCGCCTGGGTCGGCACGGATGACAACACGAGCAGCATGGGTCTCTCGGTGGACGAGAAGACGGCAAATTCCGGTGCCCTGGGATTTCCAGCTACCATCTCGCTTGAAAGCACGAGCGCGGCATTCGTAAACAGCATCTTCTTCTTCCTCGCCAGACTTGGCATTTGTGAGATTGAAGATAGCACCGGGCTCGCCTTCTTCCTCGTCGCCGGTGACGTCCGCGGACGTGGCAATCTCGGTCGAAGGAACTGATTCAGCAGCGAACTTGATCGGGGTGTTTGGCTTCCAGGTTTGATCGGCAGTCTGGGAAGCGCCGAAAATGGGAGTGCTGGTACCCGAAGTGTTGACACCGGTAAACAGGGAGCTGGTGGCATTGTTGGTGGTGGCATTTCCGCCCATCAAACCGCCAAATGGATTAGGCGAGCTCGTCGCAGAACGACCAGGAGTCTGAACTCGATCGAAAAGACTGCGACCCGCGGCAGCACTAGGGGCCGGCAGAGGGGCGTCCAGGCTTGACTTGCTGGTGGCAGCATCGGAGGAATTTATGGTCCGCTTTGATGGGCGATCATCGTCCGCTTCTCTGTCTTCTGCAGAGGGCCGCCGCTTGGGGGTCTTGCGTATGGCTTCGTGGATGTCATCGCCTGAGGAAGAGTCCCCGTCATCCTTGTCAGAGGTCTGTGGGGTTGCAGAAAGGCTGCCGAAGATGTTCTGCGAGTTGGGAAGCGGCTGGTTTGCAGATGCGAAAATCGAAGTAGCCGGGCTCGCTGCGCGGGAGCTAGCGTTGCTGATCACGCTAGCTTCATTGGAGCTACCAATCTTGCTTGCCTCATCACGCTTGCCAAACAATGGCGTGGCGGTGGGACTCGGAGCACTAGACTCCTTGGCAGCTTCGGTTGAAGCCGCCGGTTCGTCAACGTCGTCGACAAACATGAATCCCTTGCCGGGAACAAACTTCGTCTTCTTCTTGGATGCCGCTTCAATCTTTGCGCGCTTCTCGCGCTGTCTCTCGGCGTCCTTGCGTTCCCACTCCTCTTCATCATCTTCGTCGGAATCAAAATCTTCAGCCTTGCGCTTAGCCTTTTCTTCGGCAGCGGCTTTGTCTGCCTGTTTCTTGAACTGCGCCATGAAATCCGTGCCAGAAGCACCATTTCCGAATTTCGGGATTGCAAGCGCTGGAGCAGACGTTGTAGCATCAGAAGGTGGCGATGGAGCGGCATTGGCAGCAGATGCAGAGGTGCTCGCACCCGATGTAGCCTTGGCAAACATTTTGTTTCCAAACTTCGGAGCCGCTGCAGGGGTGGCAGTGGTCGGAGTACTCGCCGACTGTGTAGGCGCCGGAGCGGGTTGTTTGCTCGAGTCTGTCTTCGGGGCGGAGAAGGAGTTTGCGAAAACGCTGGCAGTAGAGGAATCATCCTGGGCACTAGCGACAGGGCCATTTGTCGTCGTAGTTTCTGCTCCGGAATGGTTGGGGAAGACAGGAACACCCAAAGTCTCACGGACTTGCAAGTAGTACATGATGAGTGAATCAAAATCATCCGTGGCACTGCGTTTGCTGACTCCCTGTTTCAACGACTCATTCAGGGTACGCAGTTGCAAGAGCAACTCGGCATCTTCTGCCTGTTCTTCGCTCATGCTGGAAGGCAACTGAGGCTTTGACAGCTGGAAAGGTTGAGCGGCTGGAGCGGCTGGAACGGCAGGCGCCGATGTTTCTTTGGCTGCAGGGACTGCAGCGGCCACAGGTTTACCACCAAAGAGATTGCCAAACGGCTGCTGGTTCTGAGGTGCTGCCTGTGCGGTAGCGGGTTTCGGCGCAAACAAGTTTGTCGGAGCCGGTTGAGCCGACGGCTGCGTGGCCTGAGGTGCCGAGATGCCCCCTCCCATGACGTTGGCGAAGGCAGGGGTCTGTCCTGTAGCTGGCTTGGGTGCGAAGATGTTGCTAGGGGCAGGCTGAGCGGAGGGCTCTGGAGCCTTGGATGCGGCGGGAGCGCCACCGAACAGGTTCCCGAAAGGCTTGCTCTCTGCGGGCTTAGCAGCAGTCTGCTCAGCGGCTGGCTTCGGGGCAAAAATATTGGCAGGAGCAGGTTGAGTGGAAGGCTCTGGGGCCTTGGATGCGGGAGCACTAGCGAACATGTTGCTAGGGGCAGGCTGAGTGGAGGACTCTTGAGCCTTGGATGCTGCGGGAGCGCCACCGAACAGGTTCCCAAAAGGCTTGCTCTCTGCGGGCTTAGCAGGAGCCTGCTCAGCGGCTGTCTTCGGTGCAAAAATGTTGGCAGGGGCAGGTTGAGCGGGCTGCTGGGACTCAGAGGTCTTTGCGGTCGTGGGAGCAGAACCGAAAACAGAAGAACCAAATGGCTTGGCCTGCACAGGCGGGGATGGAGCTTGTTCAGTCGCGGTCTTCGGCGCGAAGACATTGTTGGCCGCAGGCTGAGACGGCTCTGAGACCTTGGGCGCGGCAGGAGCGGCACCGAAGAGGTTCTTGAATGGCTGTGTCTCGGCAGGCTTTGAGGTCGTCGAAGCAACATTGAGGTTCGTGAAAGGGTTGGCAGCAGGAGTGGATGGCGCAGAAGGTGTCAAGCTGGGAGTACCCGCGCCACCAAAGAGGTTTCGATTCTGGAAACCGGGCGTAGAAGCTGGAGCACTGGCTTTAGGCTTGGCATCCGGTGAGGTTTGCATGGAGTCAACAGCAGTGGTTGTGGTAGCAGGTTTGCCAAACATGTTGGGGGGCGCCGGAGCGCTCGTGGTCTGCGGCGCTCCAAACATGCCAGAGGGCTGAGCCGCGGGTTGAGTGACAGGTGAGGCATTGAAGGCGCTGTTCCCACCGAAGCTGAACATCCCAGTAGGCTGGGCTGGCTCGGCTGGCTGGCTGCTGGACGTGCCGTTGACAAAAGGGTTGTTCGCAGCAAAGGAGTTGGTCTGCTGACCGAAGGAAGGGGCGCTGAACCCAAATCCGCCTTGAGAGGCGCCTCCAAACGAGAATGGTGCCGAGCCATCTTGCTGGGGCTGACCGAGAGACGAGTTGGCGTTGGCGCCGGGAAAGCTCTGGCTCTGGCCAAAAGCAAAGCCAGTCGGCTGCAAAGATGGGGTAGAGGAGAAAGGATTGCCACCAAAAGACGGCGCAGGAGCAGAAGAAAAGGCATTGCCGAAAGACTGGCTGCCAGGTGCAGTGGATGGAGTCATCGCACGCTTTCTGCCGCGGACATCTTTGATTCTGGAATGCGCGGGGGGTGCCCCGAAAAGGTCAGCATCCGACAACTTGCGTTTCTTGTTCATTTTGGTGGGGGAGGGATCAGGTTCTCTGACGGTGGGGGAGGCGACCGGCTCTTCCTTGGTGGGTGAGAGGGAGCGCTGTCGCTTTATCTCCTTCTTGATGGGGGAAATGAGAGCTCGACGAAGATATTTGGACATGAAGGTTCGTAGACAGGAACAGAGAAAAGAGGAAAGGTGGATTGGAAACCAAGAGGAAGCAGTGAACAATGGGAGAGAAGGACGGAAGTAGAGAGGCAGGCACGTCAACAAGACACGTCCCAAAGAGGAAGGTTAGGGTAAGGGTAAAGATCACCCCAGTCATCTCTCTAATCCTCGACGGCCCAACAAACAACGCCTCCCACCCCATAGTAGAGACCATGCGAAGGGCAAGAAAAGGGCATGAAGAAAAGAAACACTTGACTTACTTGCGGTTGGCCATCTGGGCCGCCGTGGCCCGCTGGGGCTTCTCATCTGGAGTGCCCGACATATGAAACTGATTTTCGTCTTCTTTGCTCCCCTGAGGGCCTTGCGCTGTTCGTTTGGACATCTACCGTCTCTTTCTCGGGATTCTTCCGGCCAAGGCCTAACAAGGTCAAGGTCGATGGACGGCGAGCAGCTTGGACACCCCTCTCAATTATCGGCGGCGACTCCGGAATAGTCCCGCGAGGATCATGCACCGGGGTTTCGTGAGTTTGAATATATATCGAAGACCGTCGTTGGCGTCGAGTTCCCTTGATGCTCGAAATAGGTTCGCTGACGATGCTCCCGCAGGGCGATGATGCTCCGAGGTGCTGCTTGAGGGGAGACCTCCCTGAGGTCGCGCGCGAAGTCGCCGAGTGGATGGCTATCTAGCGGTATATATCACGTCGCTTGTCGAGAGATCAGAAGCCAATCTGTCCCTGAGGATGTCGCCCTGATGCGCTGGGATGATGGCGGAGCGGTGACACGTTCGCGACCCGGCGCGAGGCACGAGCTGACTCCGGGGGTTGAGGGAGCTCACGACGGTAGACAGCGTCGAGTCCGGAAGCAGAGCAGACGAAGTGGAAGACTCGGTCGTGCTGCAGGTCCTGGATTCGATGACTCTCTGCCCTGGGGTTGACGCGGAATGGGATTCTCCCTCGATGTGTTTTTTTCTTTTTCTTTTCGTGAGGCAAGAATCACGGGGGAGATGGTCACGTGAACGGGGGCTTGGCATTGGGGCTCTACGCTGACTGATGCGATACGCTACTATTGACGGAGTTGGCCATCTCCAGCTCATTGTGGCATTCTCGGACAGTGTGATGTCTAGCAACGGTTTCGCTGGTCTTGAAGCACTTGTGGATGACGTAGTTAGCTCGGTCCATCGGCGGAAGTAGACTCCGCCCTTTTCGTCAGCAGAGACGAAAGGGGATGCGCACAGGACATATTTGTGGCTGCAGCTTAGACTGCATACTGTATGCGCTCGTGGCAATTCTAGTCGGGTGTGGAATCGCGGCCGCATGGGGGACGCAGTGCCTGAATGCCACATCAGTCTACGGCTACTTACCTGATTTCAATTGCTTCTATCTCGAGGGTTTCCAAAGGGCCTGGAAATCGGCTAGTGATTCGAAGACTGGAGCTCTCGAAATCACTGTGATTTGGATGCTACATCGTAAGCGGGTTGAAGTATGTACTGGGCATTCCGAATGAAGAACGGAGTTTTCTTTGAATAATAACAATAATAATGCGCGATTAATTATTTATCACCCCTAAGAAGACTAGCATTGCAAGTGCCGGCTATTATTGCTGCGTGAAATGCTGGATCAAGTGGTGGTGGGTAGATATATATTTCTCTCAGGGCCATCCTCTCTCTAACCCTAAGTCCTTGTGGGGTGATGACCTCCGCCCACGCCAGATTGATTCATGGATAGACGAGATGAAAGATAAGCTGAGTCATACCGAACGATCTAAAAAAGGATCACAGATCAGAGCCCAGATCAAAGGATGGCGTAGTAACGCGGGGTGATCGCCTTATAGAGCGGCCGTTTCAGAGGTCGGTTCTAGACAGGGTTCCTGGCCGGTCTCTGCAACAGTAGTAGACAACCCGCATTAATAGTTATCCGGGATGCAAGGCACACGAGAAAGAAACCTCCGAGAAGGAAGACTGTAGGCCGTGCGTCCACACGGACTAAATCCCATCCTTGAATTTTATTTCCTGTAGCGCCGATGAAGCATTCGGCAGTTGTCTAGCTAGGTCCTGCTCGACCCCCAACTTTGTATTCGCAATCCGTAGGACCAGTTCCACTCCCAATTCTCCAGGCGGTGCTGACTCCTGTCTCTGGTATAGTAGTTGCTGGCCAAAATCTGTGACACGAAGTCGAACTGCCCCTGAGTTACATTTCCTCCGTGCAGTTGCAATGAACCCGGCACTAGTCCGCATCCTTGCCTGATTCGATATGATCCGTCAGGCTAAATCTTAGCAGCCCAGCACGATCACACCTGCTATTGGTGGAGGCACGGAATTAGACAAGGGAGACGATCCGCCCCATGGGGCAAGATCGGCACTTTCTTTACGGACGCGCGATCATGAGGGCTATCCCGCCTGGCGTCACAAGCCAGAGGATTCTGATCTCCAGATACCACCCTCGACGGTCATTTATCTCCGTCTGGAGTCACTTGCAACTTCCTGAGTGGCTGTCAGCGTGGCATTCAACGCGGTGGGGTGTTTTGGCGCCTCTGGGATGGCCTGGAATGGGTGTGGAGAGCAATAAACATGTCCCCTTTGGGGGATCATCATGCGCGTTTGTGCATAGTATTTCTTTTTTCTTTTTGGGTTCTAGAGTCCAAACAAAGATCCTTATAAGAAGCCTGCCCTAGTCTTCTGTCAATCGCCGTTGCCTCTTCCTCCCCACTGATCTGTTGACCCCCTATCAGTGCCCGTCAACATGCGCGTTACTACCGTGGCCCTCTCTCTCTCTTTGTTGGCCTCTGCCAATGCGCAGATCTTCCAAATCCCCGAGGTGGAACGCATCACCACTCAGGTGGTGCGCCATTTCTCAAACTATATCAAATATAATGGTCCAACCAAGGCGGCTCTCGCGGCAATGAAGCCAGCAAAGCAGCAGACGCAAGTGAGCCAGTCGACCGCGGCGGACGCGTCCTACTGGTTGGCGGATATTAAGCACCAGGGTCTCGCGGCCTTTAACTCGGATCCGTCCAACTACACTGTGTTCCGCAATGTCATGGACTACGGCGCAAAGGGTGAGTGCTTATTGTTCTTTTCTCTTTTTCCTCTTTTTTTCTTGATAGGGACAAATCTGACCGTTGAAAACAGGTGACGGTGTCACCGATGACACGGCTGCCATCAACTCTGCCATCAGCTCCGGTGGTCGCTTTGGTCCAAACAGCGAACAGACCTCGACTACCACGCCGGCGATTGTTTACTTCCCGGAGGGAACCTATCTGGTCTCCACGTCAATCATTGACTACTATTACACCCAGCTGATTGGAAACCCAAATTCTATCCCCACCCTTAAGGCCTCATCGAGCTTCACAGGCCTGGGTGTGATCGATGGTGACCAATACCAGTCTTCTGGCAACCAAGGCTGGACCTCGACGAACGTTTTCTTCCGACAGATCCGGAACTTGAAGATTGACCTGACCGACATTCCGGGCTCGTCGGCTGCAACAGGTATTCACTGGCCTGTCGGACAGGCCACGAGTATCCAGAATGTGGAGATCGCCATGAGTGCTGCGTCGGGAACCCAGCATCAGGGCATTTTCATCGAGAACGGTGAGAGACACCAGTAAAATCAGGCTTCAGAAAATACTGACTCCTACCTAGGCTCTGGCGGTTTCTTGACCGACATCACGACCACCGGAGGTCTCTACGCGATGAACGTTGGTAACCAGCAGTTCACCATGCGCAATCTTCAAATTTCCGACGCAGTGGTGGCCATTTCTCAGATCTGGGATTGGGGCTGGACCTACCAGGGTCTCACTCTGTCCAACTGCACCACCGGTATCTCGATCGCCAACGGCGGTGTTGGCGCTCAGGAAGTTGGTTCCGTCAACATCCTCGACAGCACCGTCCAGGACTGCCAGGCCTTTGTGAGTACCGTTTGGGAAAACTCTACCTCTAGCAACGGCAGTCTGATCCTGGAGAACATTGCCCTTGACAACACCCCAGTTGCGGTCAACGGATCGAGCGGCACCGTACTGGAGGGTGGTTCTACCACCATCAGCGCCTGGGGCCAAGGCCACAAGTATACCCCCAATGGACCCACCAACTTCGAGGGCGCGTTCACTGCGCCAACCCGCCCGAGCGCCCTGCTCGCTAGCGGAGGATCCGCTTACTATACCAAGTCGAAGCCCCAGTACGCTTCATCTCCTACATCTTCCATCAGCAGCATCCGCGACGCCGGTGCTAAAGGCGATGGCACGACGGACGATACAGCGGCCATTCAAAAAGCTCTGACTTCTGCTGCATCCTCCGGTCAGATTGTCTTCTTTGATCAGGGTGTTTACAAGGTCACCAGCACGATCACGATCCCCCCGGGCTCTGTTATTGTTGGAGAGTCCTATTCTGTGATCATGGCCAGTGGCAGTACATGGTCCAGCATCACCAAACCCGTGCCCGTGGTCCAGGTTGGCACGTCCGGACAATCCGGACATGTCGAGTGGTCTGACATGATTGTGAGCACGCAGGGGTCTGCTCCTGGAGCCGTGTTGATCGAGTGGAATCTGGACGCGGACTCCGGGTCCGGCATGTGGGATGTCCATACTCGCATTGGAGGCTTCCAGGGCTCGAATTTGCAGGTTGCGCAGTGCCCAACTTCGGCACAGCCGACCGTGGACTGTGAGGCGGCGTACATGTCCATGCACATCACCAGCTCTGCCAGCGGTGTCTACATGGAGAACGTGTGGCTGTGGACCGCCGACCACGACCTGGACAGTGCGGACAACACCCAGATCTCTGTCTTCACTGGCCGTGGCCTGCTGATTGAAGGCAAGAACGTCTGGATGTGAGTATTCCAAACCTTTTTGTGCCTAAATGATTCGCTGACCTTGAGTTCTATAGGTACGGCACGGCAGTTGAGCACCACTCGCTATATCAGTACCAGCTTTCAGGCGCAAGCGCCATCGTGGGAGGTTTCCTTCAGACCGAAACACCGTATGTGACCTGGCTATGATCATGTATACCCAACTAACACAATCCTAGATACTATCAACCCAACCCCGACGCGGCCAACAGCCCGTACCCTACCAACTCGGCCATCAACGATCCAGACTACAGCACCAGCTGTCCTAGCACTGGAAATTGCGATGCTTTGGGCCTGCGCGTCCTCAACAGCGACAACATCATTATTTACGGCGCTGGTCTGTACAGCTTCTTCGACAACTACAGCACGGATTGCTCTGCGTTCCCCACTCCCGAGGATTGCCAGAGCGATATCTTCAGCATCGAGGGCACAACCAGCGCCCTCACGGTGTACTCTCTCAGCACCGTTGGCACAACCAACATGATTGTCAAGTCTGGCACCTCGCTGGCGACAGTCAGTGACAATCTGGATACTTTTGCCGCGACGATCGCTATGTTTACTGCGTAAAGAGAGCAGCAGTGCGGCCCTTCATTCGTTTTGTACATATTTGAAGGGCTTTTCCCCCCCTATGGGATGATATACACAAGAATGGATTTCTGTTCAGTTTTTACTACTGTATATACCAGAAGTAAAGCGGAATTGTAGACGAGGCGGATATGAATCCGGGGGATGTGGAGATGTGGGGGTTATTATTGGGGTTAAACTCGATCAATGATCCCACGGAGCGAGAGACTCCCACGGAGTATCGATGACCGTGCCGAGGGCTTGCCGAGGAGGACTTTGGTTATAACGAGTGGTATCTCCTTTTTGCTTCCTTTATCAATTTTCACCCCTGACCTCGACTATACTCGGTCACCACTGCACAACCATGACCATCGCCCAAGAACCCCCCACCGTCGCCTTCGACGCCCTCCCGCTCAACCCCAACGGGCCCCGCGGCAATGCCTGGGGTCGTTTCGGGCCAACCGACCAGCTCGGCACGCTGAACCTGCTCACACCCGAGCGGGTCGTGGAAGCAGCCAAGGAAATCCGGTCGGGGGTGCGCATCTCGCTCGACTGGCCGCTCAGCATGCCCTCGTACCCGAGTTTCAATCGCTCGCCGTTCAAGCAGGAGCTTGTTCTGCGGAATCCGAACTGCGTCTACGACGATGTCTTGACTTTTAATAGCCAGGGTTCGACCCAGTGGGATGGGTTTAGGCATTATGGTGGGTTACTTTCTGTACGGAAATTCAAAAAGAAATGTGTACTGACAGTGTGTTGGGTTGTTCAGCGCATCAAAAGTCGCGTCTTTTCTATAATGGGAATACAACGGAGGATATTGAGAAGTCAGATGTGATTGGTCTTCACTGTATGTTCGCCCAACCGCTTCTGGTCTGATACCACTGACAGCAAGAAATAGCCTGGGTCGAGAACGGAGGCGTCACCGGCCGAGGAATCCTCCTCGATTACGCAGAGTGGGCCACCTCCAAGGGCATCCCCGTGTCAGCACTTGAGTCCACTCCTATCACGCTCGAGAACCTGAAGCAGGCAGCCGCAGACTATAAGCTTGAGTTCCGCCAAGGCGATATCTTCTTCGTGCGCAGCGGATTTACAGCTGCGTACAATAAGCTCAGCGCGCAGGAGCGCGAAGATCTTCCGAAACGCCCGTCGCCGGACTTCAGTGGTGTTGAGGCAACGGAGGAGATGGTGCGGTGGTTGTGGGAGCATCAGTTCGCAGCCGTCGCGGGAGATGCCCCGAGCTTTGAACGGTCGCCGATTCGGGGGAGTCATGCCAATCCGGACTTTAATCTGCACGAGTGGGTTCTGGCCGGTTGGGGGACTCCCATTGGGGAGATGTTTGATCTGGAGAAGCTGTCGGAGCATTGTAAGGCTACGGGACGGTATACTTTCTTTTTGTCGAGTATGCCCCTCAAGGTATGGTTGAACTGGTCTTGCTTTTGGAATATTTACTAACGAATGACTGCAGGTGGTTGGAGGGGTGGCTAGTCCGCCGAATGCATTTGCCATCTTTTAGGAGTGATGGATGATGGATAACTAGGGCTTGTGCCACGATCTGAAGATGTGTTTGTAATGTCCGAGCACGGCAGTCCTCATTTCACGGAATAAACACGTTATTTCAGAGACCGGCCATTCCGATCTAAACGTGACTCCTTATAGTTGCTCAATGCGTAGTTACCTTCCCGCTTATTCCAACACGAAACGAACCAGTCGGAAGAATGTCGGACCAAGGAGGCTCCCGTTATTAGCACCCCCAAATAATTCCCCAGGAACCAACTACATCTTCCTCCCCGCCATGAAGTATGAGCCAAATTCCATTGATGCAAGATGACCACCTCCGTGGTTGTCGCCAATTCTGGGTATTTAATCCCCAATTTGCCGCACAAGGGCCCCTCGACTGACAGATACAGGACCCCGACAATGCACGGCTGTCGCCCTGCACTCTACCCTATCTGGCATCCGTGCCGGCGATTATCGTCTTGCTGATCGCCCTGAGCCATCTTCTTGCCCCTTTCTTGCGTAGATGGCGCCCGACATGGACTGTTCCATTCGTGTCAGAGCAGCATGAGTTGCATCATTCACTCCCGCTCGAAGGGGCCAAACACTCCCTGCGATGGGCCATCGCTCTTTTCGTTCTCTCGGCCATTGGCTTTGCGGCGGAGTTTTTTCAATTAATTGAGGTTGATGTTTCATCGACGGTTCTTACTATCGCATGGGTACGTTTTTCGGCCGTCTTGTGTGTGCCCGCAAGTGCTGACGGAAACTACAGGCGGAAGCATGGCTCCTGATTACGGTCAAGCGCCCACGATCATGTTCCATCTCAATGCTGGCGTACTATGTCTGCACCTTCGCTGTGGAAATCACGCTGGCCAGTCACTCCGACTCTAAATTGAAGATCATCGCTCGCTATATTGCGGCAGGCGCCGCAGCGGCCGCCAGCATTGTGATCCTGTTAATGCCCTTCCGCCAACCATCGCTCCCTTTGCGGGATATCAGTGCCGTGGGCCAACAGCCCTCCAGTGATTTCCGCAGTCCAGAGGACAACTTGCGACTGTGGCAGTTCCTCACTGTATCTTGGATGGCCCCGTTGATTGCCACCGGACGAGTCAGACAATTGCACGAGCAGGATGTTTGGCTGCTTGGCTTTGATTTCCAGCATCGCCGACTCCACGAGAAGTTTCGGCGTATCCGAGGTTCGGTCCTCGGTCGCTTGTTAAAGGCGAATGGCATCGATATCTTCATCCTTTCCGTTCTCGCGACCGTACGAATGTGTTGCGATTTTTCCACGCCATTGATTCTGCACCAACTCTTGCAGACGATGAAAGATCCGACCAGCTCCAAGCGAGTCCCTTTGACTTATGCTTCATTTGGGCTGGCTGCGGGTCTGATTGCCTCGCAGTCTGGAGTGCTGAACATATGGTACGGCCGACGGGCCTACGAACGGTCTAGAGGTGAGATGATGATGATGGTCTATGAAAAGGCGCTTTCCCGGAAGAATATTTTTGGACAGAGAATCCAGGGCGATGATGGAACGTGTCTCGACGATGAGACAAATGGTCTCATCGATGGTGATGCGACCGAAGGAACCGAGGAATCCTCGGTCCAACCGAAGCAGAGTCTATGGAGGCGTCTCTTCACAAAAGAAAACGAATCATGCCAGGCACAGGACAAAGAAGCAGCATCTCTCGGCAAGATTTTCAACCTTCTTCGAGGTGATGTCTATGAAGTCGCCCAGCGGTTTTGGGAAGTTGACACCCTCATTGACTCGCCCTTGGGCCTGGTCATTGCCACTGCTCTTGTCTGGACCCTTTTCGGACCATCCTGCTTCCTGGGAATTTTGGCGGTGCTAGTAGCCCAGGCAGTCAACGCCCTGATTACTCGGGCTCTCCTTCGATGGGAACGCGTGAGACGCACAGCGACCGACGCCAGACTACAGATCACTTCACAGTTTGTGGAAGCCATTCGGCACCTCCGCTGGTATGGGTGGCAAGATCACTGGCTTCGTCAGGTCATGGAAGCCCGACAGCACGAGCTGAACTTGCGCATAATAACAAGCCTGTGGAACATTTTGATCCGTTTCATCAACTCTTTCGCCAGCGGCGTATTTCCCGTTCTCGCTTTATACTCCTATGCACTCCTGGCTGGCCATGACCTGCAGATTGAGATTATATTTCCTGCTCTGAAGCTCTTCACGATGCTTGAAAGCCGTCTTCGGGACATCCCTAACCTGATCACATCCCTCATCAACGCTTACATTGCCCTTGGGCGTATCGAAGACTTTATGTCAGAACCAGACAAGGAGCCTGCGCCCGTTGAACCGTCGACTGACGAACCCCCGATCAAGCTGGAGTCCTGCTCTTACGCCTGGCCGGGCAGAACGACACCCGTGCTTCGCAGCATTGACCTGACAATCCACAAGGGCTTGACGGTCGTGGGCGGAAAAGTAGGAGCAGGTAAGACCGCTTTCCTACAGGCACTTCTTGGCGAGCTCGACAAACTCGAAGGCGTCTCCCATCTTCCGAATGAAATGGTTGGGTACTGTGCGCAGACTCCCTGGCTGCAGAGCATGAGCATCCGCGACAACATTCTTTTCTCCGCTCCGTACGATGACCAACGCTACAAGCGGACGCTGGATGCTTGCGCCCTCCTTCCCGACCTCGCGCAGTTCAAGCACGGCGATCTGTCCTTCGTGGGCGAGAATGGGATCGGTCTTTCGGGAGGTCAGAAGGCGCGCGTGGCTCTCGCACGAGCGGTATACAGTGCCTCGCGCGTCTTGCTGCTGGATGATCCCTTGTCGGCTCTAGATCACAACACTGCCGAGTTTATTGTTCGCAAATGCCTTTCGGGGCCTCTGATGCAGGGCCGCACCATCATCCTCGTGACACATCGTACTATGCTTGTTCGCCATATTGCGGATCAGATTATTGAGATACGCGACGGACTTGCCACAGTGCATGGCAAAAAGGACGTGTCTAAAATTATCGGGGGATTGGAAAATGAAGACATAGAAGGCGATGCTGAAGAAGAGACTACTCTCGAAGACGAGGCAGCTGCTGTGCCAGACAAGTTCATCGAGGAGGAACATCGAGCAGAATGGGGTGTCAAGGCCCGAGTCTATTGGAACTACATCCGGGCAGGCAAGTATCGGTGGTGGCTCGCCCTTGTCTTGGTTCTGGCCGTATACCGGGTCATGGCCGTTGGACAGTCGTGGTTTCTCAAGGCATGGGGCGAGGCCTATGACCAGACGGTCGTGATGCTCGGCAGTTTCTTGGCCGGCCACGAGCCATTTCTGGTGTCTGGGTCGAGCGCGGATGTTTACTTCGTGCCTCATAATCCGATAGACCAGCTCCCACCTCCACACGAGGACGTGCGCCCCTGGCTCTGGACCTTTTTCGGCATCATTACCTTCCAAGCCACCACGCTCCTCGTCGCCCAGTTGTTCATGCTCATCATCGTCTACTGCGCCGGGAAGGCGCTGTTCCAGCAGGTGATGGTCCGGGTCAGCCATGCGACCTTTCGCTTTTTCGATGTCACTCCAATGGGTCGGTTGATGAACCGCTTGACGTCGGATATCGGTGTGGTAGACGGCAATATCAGCCTCCAATTCCAGGTGATTGCCTTCCAGGTCATTATCTGGATTTCGTCCATCTTGGTGATCGCCACTGCAACCCCCATTTTCCTCATTTTTTCAATGGCGCTTACCATCGCTTTTGTCTGCGTCTTCCTGCGCTTCTTGCCGACATCGCAGAGTCTGCGACGCCTGGAGATGGTATCTCTGAGCCCGTTGCTGTCCAACTTTGGTGAGCTGCTCCATGGCCTGACCACCGTGCGAGCCTTTCGCGCCGAAACAAGCTTTCAAAACCGCGTCATCTCCGTGGTTGATAAATTTCAAGGCATGGACCACTTCTACTGGTCTCTCCAGAGCTGGCTCACCTACCGCTTCGAAGTCCTGTCGGCATGCTCGACCTTCGTTCTCACTGCCCTGGCGCTGTTCACCAACACGACGCCAGGCTTAGTGGCCTTCGTGCTCATCGCTGCAGACAACTTCGTCGAGTCCACGCATGTACTCTGTAAGCAGTACGGCCAGTTGCAAATGGACTTTGTCTCGGTGGAGCGAATCGACGAGCTCCTCCACATCGAAGAAGAGTCACCCGGGACGATTGATCCGCCCGCCGCCTGGCCGACCTACGGCAGTGATATTATCTTCGAGGACGTCACGCTCCGCTACGCTGCACATCTTGATCCCGCGCTGACCAACGTCTCCCTCCGCATCCCTGGCGGATCGACGACGGCCATCATCGGCCGCACGGGAAGCGGCAAGTCCACGCTGGCCGTGTCGCTTCTCAGTGCTGTCCGTCCCGAATCCGGGCGCATCCTCGTCGATCGCATCAACATCGCCGATGTGAGCACGCAGGCTCTCCGCACGCGTGTCACCTTTGTCGCACAGGACCCCGTGCTGTTCCCTGGCAGTATCCGTCTCAACCTGGACCCAACGGAGGAGTACTCCGACACGCAGTGCGCCGAGGTCCTGGAGCGGCTATGTAGTCGGCACGGCTGGCATCTGGACACGCACATCGAGGCCGGCGGGAGAAACCTCAGCCAGGGCCAGCGCCAGTTGATTGCCCTAACGCGCGCCGTGCTGCGACGCAGTCCCATCGTTATCTTAGATGAGGCGACTGCCTCGGTGGACCATGAAGCGTCTCTGGAGATTCAGCAGATTATCCGGGAGGAGCTGGAGCTGTCGACGGTGATCACGATCGCGCACCGCATCGAGGCCGTCAAGGACGCGGACTATTTCGTCGTGCTTGACCAGGGCCGCCTGGCACGCCAGGGCCATGTCCGGGATTTGTAGAGTGGACTAGCTACATCTCGAATTGATCTATTTTCCAGTTACGCGGTTTTAGAAAAGAAAGTTCAAGCCAAACCCTCCGCGGGTAGAATTCATTCATATACAGCGATGCGGTGAGAAAACGGGTATCTATCTTTACAGCTTGGCCTTGCCCTGGGCCTTCTTGAGGATGGGCTCCATCTTGGTCGCCTTCATGATGTTGCCCTTGATCTTCAGCTTGCCGCCCATAAACAGGCGCTGGGCGTTGGCCTTGCCGGTGACGAGCTGCTGGAAGTCTTCGTCGGAGAGAGAGAGGGTAACTATTTCGCAGAAGGTTAATAAACGGGGGTTTGCTGAATTCTTGGGGGAGAAGACACAGTGCTGCCGGTGTCTTACTCTGTCGGAGAACACTCACCATCAGCCTTGCCGCCCTTCGGGGCCGCGCCCTCGCCAACCTCGCCCTTCTCCTTCAGGTCGAGGTACCAGCTCTGCTCCTCACCCTTGCTGTTCTTCAGGTTGAAGGCGACGATGGCCTTGGCCTTGTCGACGGCATCCTTGCGCTCGGCGGCGTCGGCCTGGAGCGTCTCGTTGATCACGTCAAAGGCGGCGGAGGAGGGGAAGGAATCTGGCCGCCTGTCAGTGCATGATTAACAGTGATCGAAGATGGATCATAATACCTTTCTTGAGCGACATGGTGGATGGTACAGGTGGAATAATCGGGTCAGGGTGAAGTGAGAAGCGCGACAGTTATTTATGATGCCATCGGTGCATGTGAACCCCCGGTGCCGTGCCGAGGCCCCCGAACATAGTACTTCACGCACAACATTCTCATGAATTCATTCTTCTTGTGCAACACACACCAGCCGAGGACACTGAGTACTGTATTATTTTGTGCCCTGATTGACGATCTGCCCTCCACTTAATTCTCGTCCCCGCTGAACGCGGTGTTTTCTCATCCCCAACAACCCCTAGAGTAGCCGACTCCACATGCCCCCGAGCGGAGCTCCCCCATGAGGTATGACTAGTATGGACTCCTACATCTGAGGGCCCCGGTACAAATCCGGTATCCTTCGCGGCGCTAACCCTGCCGCCGATCATTTTCCGTTGGGGACCTGGTCTGGTCCCCAGGAGTGGCGCCCGAACCGGGTGAAGATGTTTGCTCGCGTGCTCGACGTCATCGCCAACGAAACGCAGATGACGGCGGCTACCACCCACTGTGATCATGGTTGGATAGCCCAGCCATGACGGAGGAACAGAGAACAGGCGAGATCTGCTCGCGCGTAGTATTAATCTGTTTTCCAGAATTGGAGAATCCAGAACTGAGCGAGTGCTCGGTGCGTACGTAGCATGGTGAAGAATATATACTGCGATCATAAATCTGGAACCATCTGATCTATAATAAGCATCACGGTTGGACCGTACGTCCTTCTGTATATCTTCACACATATTATTCCGCTCCCGACACCACTCCTCAGTCCATGGAGCTCGATGGCAACACGAACAGATAGGCCCATACCTCCCAATCCGGAGATAGGGCCAGCCCTACTGAGTTTGCACTGTTTGTCTCGCTATCAGTCACGTGCAGATAAAAGTCGCAATGATGGCAACAACCTGGACAGACGAAAAACCAGGGTGAAAAGACGCGGATCGGATAGGCTGGAGTGCTACTAACTGTTCTCTGGCTGGTGGATGACAGGCCAGAGCTGCAGCCTTGGCGTTCCTGGCTCCCGATGACATCGACTCCTGCCTCCGCGTCTTCGTCAGAACATCAAAGATTGATTGATCGATCGGGGTGAGAGTAGGGAGCAGGTTGGCCACTTCTTGACTATTGATTGTGTACTTTTTCCTTCCTGCATCTTCTCCCCTGTCTTTCTCTTTCTCTTTGTCTACGTTGCCCCGCGATTCGACTCCACCATTTCGCGTTATCGCCTACGACGGACTGTTGACACCTCACTTCTCCGTCGGTTTTGGTATGTATTCCTTCGAGCATTCCCTCAGCGGCCCAGAACCGGGTCGAGGCGACGATTGTTCACCTCTCATGCTTTGTTTTTGCCTTCCTCCCCTGCAACTACCCGCGCTCCCTGCGGCTTTCCCTGTTTGCTTACCATAGGCTGACCTAGCCCTCAGATTCTCAGCATTCATCTCTCACTACCGGGTTCAATTCTGTCATCTACCGACTCGCTAGTCGTCAGGCTGATCTGCCCAGCCCAGCATTCTTTTAAACCATCACTTCATCGACCACACTCCGCCCCGAACTGAAACCATCGTACCCTGCCTTGTCTGGCAGGACAGTCTCAAAAGATGGCGTCCGCCGTGGCAACCATGTCCTCTGAGGACAAGATCAAGGACCTTTGCGAGGATATCGACCTACAAAAGTTCATCTACGAGGACCTGCAGGACAGGGAGCCGGGTGAGTCGGAGGAGTCGCAGGAGATTCTGAGGACCATCCGGAATCTTGAAGCGCAGGTGGCTGCCCTACTGGGTGGTGATTCCGGTGGCCCTGCCTCTACCCAGAGCGTGGAGTTACCCCAGGACACGCCTCCTCCAGCGCCCGTGGCCGCAACGGCGCCTCCCCGACCTACACAGGAAAGGTATAGGCCTTCCCCCGGACCTGTGGTTATGTCTGGCTCCAGGCCCAGAGCCCCACCGCCTGCGGAACCTCTGTTGCCCAGCATGCACACTCCGCACCTTCCATCTAGCGCAACTTCTAGGTTGCCAGGGCCAGATTCTGTATCGAATTCGTATTGGCCTTCGTCTGCTCCATCACCCTTTGTCATTCAGCATCCGAACATTCACCCAAGCCAGGAGTCATCGTCTCGTGATTCCTCTCGCAAGAGATCCCGCCAGGATTCAGGCAGCTCCCCGCATCAACATGGTCCGTCAAAGTATCGATCGCGCATCAACCCATCTCCAAATCCACCGAGACCGCAGCCTTCACGAACCAGGCAGACACTAGAGGAAAAACTGGCCGAAAACAGGGAGGCATACGAGGAGATGATGGAACCCGGCTCTGTGGAAATGACAGCACAGCTGGAGAGGATCTCGCCGTCCACCGTCATTGCCAATCTTCGGAAAGAGGAAGCGGACCAAGCAAGACTCATCCGTGAAGAATTTCAAATGGAGCAGGACGCTGAACTTGCTCGCACGCTCCAGGCCCAGGAAGACGAGTATATTTCTCTGAGTAGCTCTGTCTCGCCTCCTCGGTTCCACCAGCCCCGGCCCTCCTTTGAGAATATCCCTGACAGAACTCATTTCTCGAAGATCAAGAAGGATCCCGGTTATCCTCTCATCGAACCACCTCGTCACTATGAAACTATACTCGACGAAGATGATGACGATTTTGAGGAAATCTCGGGGGATTATTTTCATTCTCGGTTTGGGGGTTCGTCTATGGGACAGCCTATGGGGATGCCTGGAGCGTTTCCTGGAATGTCTCACCCAGGGGGTTTGTATATGCCTCCATCGTTGCCTCCCAGAAATCTTCCATGGCTGGGCGTGGACCCGAACGCCGCAGAAAGAAGCATTGGTTTTGCCCAAGACGTGGCGAGCAATGAGTTCTTGTATGGAAACGAGGACGATGAAGATTCCGACGATGTAGTCGAGCGCTATGAAGAGAGAAACTTCCCAGTTGACATCAAGAACCTTCTCACGGGTATCAAAGATATCCGCGAAGCGACTAAAGCTGACAACGAGGAGACGCCCCAGTCGCTCCAGGTCACGCTCATGAAGCACCAAAAGATTGGCCTGAAATGGATGAAGGCCAAGGAAGAGAGTCCCCACAAGGGAGGCATTCTCGCAGATGACATGGGTCTCGGGAAAACCATTCAGGCCATTGCTCTTATTGCCTCTCGGCCGTTCACCGATCCTGATCGCCGGCCTACCTTGATTCTTGCTCCGAAGGCGCTGCTGGAGCAATGGAAGGCAGAGATCGGGCGACATGTCAAACCCGGGAAGGATCAGCTATCGGTCTTCATTTTCCATAACCTGACCCGACATGTCCCATGGCGAGAGCTGAAGAGTCACGATGTTGTGATTACAACTTTTGGCACGCTCGTGGCCAACTTCAAGTCGATCCTTCAGGCAGAAAAAGCCTCGGAAGAGGGAAAGGACCCCAGCATCGTGAGGCAGCTCCGTGAGCAGTCATCGCTCTTCGGCCCGTCTAGCAAATGGCACCGGATTATCGTCGACGAGGCACAGAACATCAAGAACCCGCGCTCAAAGTCGTCCAAGGCATGCTGCCGCTTGGATGCTACGTACCGCTGGTGTTTGACGGGCACACCCATGATGAACCGCCTGGAAGATCTGCAGGCTCTCATCAAGTTTCTGAAGATTCGGCCCTACAACAATCCCGACAAATTTAAATTCGTGAGTTACAAGCCTTACGCCCACAAGAAAAGACAAAACATTGACCACTCTTTATAGACATTTACCAGCCCTAGGTCGTATAGGAGTCAGCCTGAGGTGATTATGGCAATGCTGCGTGTCTTGGTGAAAGCTATCTGCCTTCGCCGTACTAAGAAGACGAAGATCGACGGCCAGCCTATTCTGCAGCTACCACCGAAAGTGGTGGAGAAGACCCATGTCGTGTTTAGCGACCAAGAAAATGAGATGTACAGAGAGTTGGAGAAGAACACACAGGGCCAGATCGAGCGGTATCTGGATGCTGGCACCATGGGCAAAAATTACAGCCATATCCTGGTTCTTCTCCTCCGTCTCCGACAGGCTTGCTGCCACGCTCACCTTCTGAAGGGGTTCCGTATCGGCCTCGATCTGCCCACAGCCGTTCCGGGTATAGATCTTATCGCCAATGCTAAGCTCTTGAGTCAAACGGTAGTGGACCGGCTCAAGAATAACGCAGGCGAAGAAGACGGCACTTGTCCTATCTGCATGGACAGCGTGGAAAACGCAGTGATCTACATTCCCTGCGGACACTCCCTGTGTTCCGAGTGTTTTGCTCGATTCTCTGGCCCTGTGGCGGATGGCCCGGGTGATCTAGAGGCTTTGATTAAATGCCAGAACTGTCGTGGGCCTGTCGATCCTCGCACGATTACGGACGGGCAGTCATTCAAAAAGGTCCACGACCCGGACTCACTCCCCCCCTCCGAAATCGACGATGAGCCAGAACCAGAGAAACAACAAGAGGAACCAGAACCGGAAGAATCGGAGCCTGACACAGATGAAGAAGGTTCAAACCCCAAGAAACTCTCCCTGGCAGAGCTCCGCGCCGCAGCCCAGAAGAACAAGAAGGAGAAGAACAAGTACCTGCGCCGTCTGGAGAAGACGTACGTGCCCAGCTCGAAGATCGAGAAAGCCATGGAGATCCTGCAAGCCAACGAAGACCGCGGCAACGACGAGAAGACCATCATCTTCAGCCAGTTTACCTCGCTGCTGGATCTGCTAGAGGTCCCTATCAAGCGCCGCGGCTGGGGATACGCCCGCTACGACGGCAGCATGGCTACCAAGGACCGCCTTGAGTCCGTCACGGTCTTCTCGCAGGACCCGGCTTGCAAGATCATGCTCGTCTCGCTCAAGGCGGGCAATGCCGGTCTGAATCTCGTCTCTGCGTCTCATGTCATCGTTTTTGATCCATTTTGGAACCCTTATATTGAGGACCAGGCCGTTGACCGCGCACACCGGATTGGTCAGACGAAGGATGTCTTTGTCCATCGCTTGCTCGTCACCAATACCGTTGAGGATCGCATTATCGAGCTCCAGGATAAGAAGCGCGATTTGATCGACGGGGCCCTCGACGAGGGTGGCAGTATGAACGTCGCTCGGTTGGATCACAGGGAACTAGCATATCTCTTCGTATGTTCGACGCATCCTTGTTTTCTCTCCCTGGGCTTGGCTAACTTCTTGATTTCTATAGGGTGTTCGCGACTAAGCACCGCTCTTTTGAGGATATCTGGTTTCATCACCAAAATTTGCATGCCGTCTCATTGTATATTTCGAGGCTATGCTAGTGGGGTTATTTTTTTTTCGGTTTGGTATCAAGGTCTTTGCTTATTGGGGTTGCATATGGCAACGATGAAAAATACCCTTTTGCTTTTGTTCTGCTTTTTGCTTCGATTGCTTCCTGCCTATCTTCTTTGTTATACCCCCGGTGCTCGCTCCAGTTTGATGCTCTACTGTCCATACGAATAGAATGCTTCTTTTCCCATTTCTAGCTCTACGATCTGCCAGATGATTTTGCTTTTAGACAACCATAGGAGCTGGTTTCTATTGTATTTGGTCCGAGCATTTTTCCAGGCACTACGTATAGATGAAGAATTAGAAACCACGTCCTAGTCTTGTTGAAAGAAGAATTTTTTCCTGCGTTCTGCGTCTGTTTGCAAACTGCTTTTTTATACCGTCTGCTTCGTTTCAAAGGGGGGCAAAATAAGAGGGGCATTGAGATGGTCAAGAGTCTAAGCTACTAAGTGTTGTGTTTCGGGGAAACAAGAGGGGAAAAAAAGAAATGCATAATCGTGCGCAGCGCCTTCAGTCTTTTATTTCAAACCACCACCACCGCTAGCACACATCCGCCATCATTGTATCGTGATTTCTCAAAGACTTTGCTTTTGCGGGCAAAAACCAAAAATGTCGACGCGGAGCGAACGGATTCCCCTTGGAAGGAAAGAAAAGCTGAGGAGCCCCAACCTCCAAGTTGGTAAACTTCGTAGGCTGATGTACCGCTCGTTTACAGGTCGGCATCGTCCTCGTCGGGCAGGGGCATCGCTGCTGCCGCCTCCATCTCCTTGCGGGCCGCCTCGAGCTGCTCGTGGTCGACCTGCACCTCCGGGGGAGCAAGAGCAATGGCAGCGACGAATTCCTGAAGACGGCGTTAGTATTTGGATTTTGGAACGGGAAAGGGGGAGGGAAACGCACCAGCTGGGGGTTGCCAACCAGCTTCCGAGCGAGCCACAGGAAGGGCTTCTCGAAGTTGTAGTTGGACTTGGCGGAGATGTCGTAGTACTGGAGGTTCTTCTTGCGGTGGAAGGTGATGGTCTTGGCCTTGACCTTGCGCTCCTTCACATCGACCTTGTTGCCGCACAGCACGATGGGGATGTGCTCGCAGACACGGACGAGATCACCTAGATGGGGTCAGTGTGGCCTTTTGATCAAGGGGAAGAAAAACACTCACGGTGCCAGTTGGGCACGTTCTTGTAGGTGATACGCGAGGTGACATCGAACATGATGATACCGGCCTGGCCGTTGATGTAGTATCCATCGCGGAGGCCACCGAACTTCTCCTGACCGGCGGTATCCCACACGTCGAACTGGATCGGGCCCAGGTTCTATTGCTTCAGGTTAGTCGGGACGGTTCACACGAGCGGCCCCCGCTCGAGGGTTGGTGGGGCAGATAACATACGGTGGTGAAGCCGAGAGGGTGCACCTCCACACCGAGAGTGGCAATGTACTTCTTCTCGAACTCACCAGTCAGGTGGCGCTTGACAAAAGTGGTCTGATCGGGATTGGATGCGTTAGCGATGGAACTTTGGCGAGGTTGGCCGGTTGGGCAGATATTTATTTTGATTGTTGGCAATCGCGGGGCAAGGGGGAAAACAAGCTGTTCATCCACTATCGAGGCGGAGGATGGCCGTTATGATGGGACGTTCGCTCTCAGACGATCGAGAGATGGTTCAGAGCCAAATCCGCTTACCTTGCCAGTACCACCGTCACCGACCAAGACGAGCTTGAAGGTAGGTGGGGGCGCATTGGCCATGGTGGGCGATGAGACGATGAATTCGAGATGAAAACGAGGTCTAGAGCGAAGAGGAGGATGCGCGTCGTCGATTCTGGATGATCGAAGCGAGGCGGTTCTGGGGGGTTGGGGGTGTTGAGGGGTGAGGCGAAAGAAGGAGAGAAGAAGTGAATAATGCGCGATTGGAATTTTTGCCCCAGCTGGTCACGTGGACTGTGTGTCTGGTAAACAAGCACGCCGTCACTTGTTTACTTCTACATTGGACCCCGATTCAGAGGATCAGATTGCTTATGACAATACAAGAAAGACTACAAATCATTTGCGCCGAACCCACCCCATATCTCTTCACAACGGCACCAGATGACAACCTAGCAGACCACGCCCACCCCAATCTCGCCGAGGAGTGAGCCGGAGATCCAGCTCCATCGTCGTCCCAGACCCGCTCTCGTCCTTTCGAATCACCTTGACGGACAACGGGCGCTGCACAGACAGTTAACACGGACTTCCGATCCGAGGGAGAGAGAGCACTGACCCCTTCGTTCTGTTGCACCACCTCTGCGACCTTGGACAGGCGCTCGTGGTTCATCCAATGCACACTCCCAAAGCTGTGAATGGTATCGCCCGCTTTTAGCCCGGCTTGGTCTGCCGGACTCCCGGGCACCACGCTATTGACCTTGGCAAACGGTGTTCCCGCTTGCGCCACGCTGGTATCCGACGGGGGTTGTGTTGTAGAGGGCACCCTCGTGCCATTTGGAGTGGATGTGGAGGTCTGCGCATTCTGCATACTGGCGAAGTGGGCATGGAGGCCCTTTTCAAGATGGGTCATGACCTCCTTGTGGTCATTTCGTAGGTGGATAATACGCACACGCGTCGTTCGAACTGTATGAATCGTCTCAGCGACCTGTAAAGATGTGGGTGGAATGATTGCAGCGCACCTTGAGCGATGTCGATGTCATCGCGGGGGTATCCATCAAAGGTCGTCAGAGAGGAGTTCATGTTGACTCCATGCTAGCAGCTTATTAGCAAGCAGGCGGCGACACCAGTAAATCATCATTCATACCGAGCCGAGCACGCTGCTGAGCGCCGACAGTTCTGCTTCGATGCGGTCCTTCTCCGTCATCAGCTCGGTCATCGACAGCTTCGACAGGTCGCGCGGGGCAGCACCCCCGGACGTGGGTCCGGAGGCGACAGTGGGAGCGTGGATGTCGTCGTCCATGGGGATGCCCATAGTAGGAGACAGGCAGATCAGACCATTGCGCGGGTGGAAGGAAGAGCGAGAAGTGGGAGAATGAAGAAAGTGTGGGTCGGGCAGCTCTCTCTTTATCTAAGCATCTTCTACTGTATCAACTCAACAAACAACCACACCAACAATGAAACACAAACTCCCGATCGGAACCCGGCGCAGGAGGGTTGGTGACACCTTCTCGCCTTCCCATCATGACGTACATGGATGAGATTCAAATCGCCTGCCTGGTCGCGACTGCCTCTGCGCGCTGTCTCGCGCCTTCCTCCGTCGTGATGGCTCGGGTGGTCTTGACTTGGTCTCGCGGGAGTTGTTGCTGCACACTTCAGTCGAGTTGCTGCTGCTCCCCATAATGGACTCCCCGGCGTGTGATGCGGAAAAGTCCATGCTGCTGGATGCTTCCGACAGTGAAAAGCTCTCCCTGGTCGACGAGACCAGCGTCGATGGCACCATGACCGAGAAGTCCGCTGGGCCTCATCCCTTTAAGAAGTGGGTGGACAGCTTTCGGGCACGCAAACATATAGCCCCCACCATCCCACAACGATACGTGGAGGGCTGGTCGGATTCTTCAGCGGAATTCTCCGTGCCAAACCCGACGGCTCGCCATGAGCACTGGGAGAGACTGTCGGGCCACTCGTCGCAGCTGGGCACCGTCAAGACCACGACCATGAGCATCGCCAGCCAGAGCTTGGCCCGGTCGAGAGGAACGACCCAGAGCACGGCGGGCCAGAGTACCATCTCCGATACTCGCATTTCCGCAGATAGCTCTCGACCCACCTCCAGCCATTGCATCGACGAGGCCGCGGAGCTGCGGGCGACCAAGCGTCGGCAGGTCTTGCGGGAGATTGTGGCAACGGAGTCGGATTATGTCCGTGGTCTGAAAGCGCTCACTGGGGTATGTTTTCAGGACCACGCGTGACGGTCCTGGCGCTGATGTTGGGCAGATCCTCTCAATCTTCAACACACGGCCCGAGATCTATCACAACGTGCAGTCGATCCAGGAGATCCATGAGCGCTTCCTCACCCAGATCCAGGCCACATCTCCCACATCAGCAGCCAACGTCGAGGATCTTGGCGCGCCTGATGTCCTGTCGCGCGGACTTCATAAACGTTTGGGTGCGATTGATCTCCCTGGGTTCAAGAACCGATCCTTGAGAACGCGAAACTTCAAAGCATCGCTCAAACAGCGACTGAAAGCGCTGTCGGCAGAGCCCTTTGAAGCTCTTGAGGTTGCTCGAGATATTGAAAAACTGGTTGGTCTCTTAACATCCGGGCATCGTCTACGAATGACTGAGCACGAAATACAGTCCATTTCCTTTGCGGTATACGAGGAATTCTGCGGAAACTATGAGCTGCTCACGCAGGATGTTGCACTCTTACGGCGGTCGATTCCGAATTGGGCAGTGTTTGATCAGGGTATCGAGGCATTATCAAAGTCGGTCACGTCCACGGAAAGTCGGAAACAGGAGGAAAACCGGTCGATGTCTTTGAATGATCTGCTCATCAAGGTTTGAGCTTTTACCTTGGGATATATCCCAGTCGCTAATAGAGAATTAGCCCGTCCAGCGTCTCTGCAAATATCCTCTTCTCCTGCAGGATTTGCTCAGACACACTCCTGTTAGTGACTGCCCATCTTCTCATGACGGCATCCGACAAATCCTAGAAAGCCTACGTGTCTTGGTGACAAAAATCAACTCGGCGACTGGGAACCCCGTGAACAAAGACCGGATCCAGAAGACCATTCAACTGCAAGGGAAGATCGACTTTTCCGATATGGTACGTGATGTTGAGTCAATTGAGGCACACTGGGCTAATATTTGGGTAGCATACACTCCGGGACATCTACAAGGAGCTTGGCCCGATGATCTTGTGCGGTGTCTTGCACGTTACCTATCAAGCGCCAGAAGGTCCCATGGGAGAATTCATGGTATGCGTTCTCTTCAATTGCTACTTTCTCCTAGCCAAAGGGATCGATGACTTCCGCCGACTGGAAGTGGTGGCTTGTATCTACATTGGGGATTTGAAGATGGACACGCTGCAGAACGGAAGAGGTAAACGGCTCCCACTGACCTCTTTTGCGACCTATTGGCTAACTGATTCAGGATTTTGTTGCTACGGGTGTCTGTTTTCATGGAAGCTTCTGTTCCAAGATCAAGATGAGAACTACGAGTTCATCATGAGCGCTTCCTCGGCGACGGAAGAAAAACACTGGAAGACCGAGATCCTGAAATCCGTCGCAATGCTGCCAGAGATAGCCAAGCCAGGCGTGTGGGATTCGAAGAAATATTCGTTCCTGAACATCGCGCTCGTGCCATTGGATCGCGTTCAATACGCCGCGGCTTCCCTGGCCCGGCGATCGTCCATTGATTGCATGGCAATTTCGCGGAAGTGCCATGTCCAACAGTTGTTCATCAAGAAGACGCACTGTCCCCATAACTCGGAAGAGGCTATCAGTCAGGTCGACGGCGAGGTTGAACGGCCCAAGACTCCCGTCTCCCGCTCCGCACTGGTAGTGACCGCCAGACGGATGGACCGCGTTCGTCTGGAGAGATTGATCGCCGAAGTCTACACGCGCGACGTTCTTCCCCTACCCGGAATGGTCCTTGGACGAGGGGATCTCTTTCGACGCGGCTCCATCATGAGACGACTCAGCTTCCACACGGGATTTGCTAGGCGATCTAGCTCCGTCAGCACCTCTCGGTCCGGGCCCGTCGCCGATTCAGGGTCGGTGGACGAATACACCGCATCCCTGGCTGGTAGTGAACGTGGAGAAGACTCGCACGCGGAGTCGGATGCCGATTACGAGCTGCCCAAAACACCGACCTCGACTCTCGGGCGATCCAGGACGTTACGGTTCCGTAGTGCGCCCAAGAAGGTCACCGGTCCGGCGTCTTCTCCACGTAGCGAGAAGATTCGGTCTCAGGATGGAAACCCAGAGTGGTCCCCGTCACGCAAGAAGTGGGGGGCTCCCATGGCGTTGCTGAGTGCGCTGTCGCCCAGGAATCTGATGCGGCCGCGTTCCAGCCTGGGCCAAGGTACGGAGGAGTGATATTAGGGGAATTGTGGGGGCATGGAGTGAGTATTACGATGATGGCTTGGCTGAGACGTAATTGTAGGCAGTTTAGTAGTCAAAAGGAATGCACACTGGGCCTTGATCGGCCAATTGTCCTTCTCCACACCAGGCAGGGAGCTCCCGGGCGATGACGTCGGTTGTCGCAGCAGGACAACGGTCGAAGACATAAAAGGGGGCAGCGAATGTGCGAGAAAAACACGCGATCAATTTCTGATTTTGGCATTCTTCCTTCCCCTGTGAATCCCTCGCTCGCAACCAGCATTGTCCAGCTGAGCTGTTTATAGTATTTGCCGATCGACCCACTGACGTCATCCACTGTCATCATCCTCTTAAAGCGGCCCGTCATTTTAGTTCTTTGCTTCACCACTTCAGCATCCTCACTTCTCCAGCTTTGAAAAATTGCTAAACACCCCTGAATACTTCCAATTGAACCACCCAAAATGCCTCGTGCCAACGAATCCACCTCCAAGATCTTCTACAAGGGCCGCTCCGACGACTTCATCGTCTTCGTCGACGACCTCGAGGTTTTGCACAAGTGGAAGAATGACCGCAGCATCCCATTGAGCGATGTTTTGAACGGGTGGAAGATCTTCGTTACTCATTCGTAGGTTTATCTGCCACGAGGCGATCTTCTTTACTAACATAAGCCTGACTGCAGCCACGGAGCACAGGGTGTGCTGGACAGTGCCAGCAAAGCGAGCCTGCAGAATGAGTTCGGGACCTCAAATGAGGATGAGTGCATGATCAAGATTCTGGAGGGTGGCGAGTATCAGGCTTCCACGGTTTGTCTTCCCCCTTCCATTCGTCGTGTCGTCCGAGTGCTAACCTGTATACCTACTCTGCTAGACACGCGAGCGTGAGGGTTCCAAGAATGACTCCAAGGGCGCTCTGGGCGTCTCCCGCTAAAATATCCCCATTTGCACAAGAATGGGGGAAGCTGTTCAGGCGAACTGCTTATCCCTCCTCGGATAGGAGTGTTCCATACCGCATCACATTCCCGGCCGATCTACTATGTATCTCTCCGACATCGCGCGGTTGGTTTAATCTATGACTGATATCTTACCACCTTGAATGAGTCGAGAGAGATTGTCTGGTCTGGAAATGTTTTCCCTTTTCAGTTGCATCGATATAACAGGCTTCTTTCTGGACCTGATATGAGATAATGAACTCAAATGAGAAATACTGATCTTCGTGATCTCCTTGCTCGTATGCGTAGTACATCAGTCAGTCATTATAGGATTATATATATTCATTTGCAGATATCTAGCAGAGATGAGGGGTATAGCAATAGTACCCCGGCAGAAAAACAATGAATGCTATGCTTTGAGCACCTTCGATCTTTTTGGTAACGTCCACGGCTCGGCACAGACCACCTATAGGTAGCGGGCGTTAGCTTTAACCTTCTCAACATGACAGCCATCAAGAACATACCTCGCCTTCACTATAAGCCCAGAAATACACCCCGATCCCAACAAGATAATAAATTGCCGGATCGGTGCCTTGGTAGAGGAGGGCCGCGAACAGGGCGCTGAGCGGGTAGATGATGAGTCGGACTTCAATGCTGCGGTGTAGTATTGAGCCCGCGAACGGTTTGAGCGGCCATTCCCACGCGAGACCAATCAGCCCGGTAACGAGGTTGAGGATCTGGAGGATCGGAATCGGGTTGACGGCGGCATCGAGGTTGCGCGAGATGAAATCCCAGAAGACTTTAGGCCATAGGAAGCCTTCGATGGCGCTGGCGATTTGGTCTGGAGGGCGAGATGTTAGTTAGAAGATGTGATTGTGAGAAACAGAAACGTACAGGCTGATGCTGTGAGGATGATTAGGCGCCCCCAGTGGTTCTTGATTAATCGGCCCATCCCGGGTGTGTGGTGTGTATAGTTCTGCGAAATCTCTCGATAGATTCCTCAGTTCAAAGAAAGAAGAGAAAAACGTGCTGATCGCTAAAGCGACCGGACTTGCAACGAAAGAAAGGTTCCCCTCATGGCTAGAAGAATAACTAATGCATGGCTCCCTCGGCTGATATTCTTCAAAGGGTCTGTGGTGTTAGTGTGATTGGGCGGGACGGGATGTGACAGAGCGGATCTTGAAGCGGGCGTGCGCAAATCAGCGGCCCTGGCGCCAACCTTGGGCGTGACGAGCTGCAGGAGGGATCGTCTCGCTCACATTGCACTTGTCAAGGTTGGCCACCTCGATTGTCAGATGATTATCCCCACGCACGGGGAGGATGCCTATATTTAGGAGGAGGGCGGTGCGTGGTCTTTGGGGACGGAACTATGTACGCTGTGGCGCGATCGGATTATCTCAAGGTAACTATGAACCTGCTTAACTCGTTTGTATTCTTTGTTCGACCTGCTCTCAGGCACGTCCCTTTGGTTTAATTCATATATCCACTCCTAAAGTGTTTTTCTGGCTGGGTTATAACCTTGTCGAATCACTCGCCGACTGGTAACTTCTCACAGACAGTGGCTTATGGAGCGCGGTGACAGACAGTCTCGATGTTGTTTCCGGCTGGATCGGTAACAAAAGCACCATAGTAATTGGCATGATACATCGACCGCAAACCCGGGGCTCCATTGTCCTTACCCCCAGCCTGGAGGGCAGCGGCGTGGAAAGCATCAACCGCAGCGCGATCTGTTATATCTCAATTAGGAAAAAAAAAAAAAAAAAAATTCTTTCCTCACGGCTTGAATAGCCTACCAGGGGCACCAAACGCAATATGAGCAGGTTGCTCTGGTGCGCTCTTCACTCCAAACACCCAAAAGTCCGCCCGCTTGTAATCTTCCAAGTCTTCCTTGGTCGAACCAAGACCCGCGACATACGGGCCGAATTGATAGCGGATTTCATAGCCCAGATGCTTGAGAGCCTCAAGATAGAAATTGAGGCAGTCTTGGAACTTGTCTTCGGGGACGTAGAAGCTGGTGTGGTCGATAGTCATGTTGAAAATGTTCGAGACAATGACGGTTGAGGTATGTGAAGTTGGGCATACACCTTTTATTTGTACACCGCTTGTCTTTCTGCCTTATCCCGGCTCCGCCGACCACTCCAAGGGTAATGCAGCAAGGCTGTCAATAAAATCAGTAAGGAAGATGAGCAGAGAGTCGAATGTCGTATTGTTCGGGCCCCTCGATCGGTGGATCGGGACTTGGCGGGCCGATCTCCGCTATCACGTATGTCTCGACAAGCTCTGGACCCTGATGGAGATGTTGCTGCCTGCCTGATTACGCTTCAGTAGGTAAATGTATAGCTTGATCCTAGGATTCATCTGCGATTCAGTCTTTGCAGCCTTGTCTGTGACTCATAATCGAGAAATGTCCGAGAGGAATTGAGGCTGAAGGAATGGTAGAGAGCAAAAGATTATATTACTACCCAAAGAGAACGGAATCATACAAGAACGGTAACTATAACTATCGGCATTTACAACTCGAGTTTATTTGTTTAGATCATCTTTCTGGAATTGGACCACGCACTCCAAGCCCTAAAGACACAGGACGCCAGACCCAAACAGGAACGCTAAGCCCGTCCGAGTTAGGATAGCCGATTAGGGTGAGATCAAATGTGATGAGAAGCCAGCGCTTGCAGAATGCATTTCATAGGCCAGCGTGCACTGCGAGTCCCTCACTCGCTTCAGTTGGCGCCGGCCATTCACCAGCCTCCCTGCCAACTTTTATCCCCAAAAGGATTTTCCCCGATGGTCGGATTGTTCGTGTGTGTGCACTTGTACGGAGTCGGGGTGGTATCAGATCAGGTTGAGCATTCATGCCCTACCCTTGGACTTATGCTTTCTGTGCATGAAACAAAGTCCTCGCGCGAGAGATCCCGAAGTTCTGATTGCGACCGGGGCCTCAACAAAATACAACATTTCATGTACTGATAGCAGAAACTGAATCCGGTGTAGACTCCGCTCCAGCCTCCACATTTCCCATTTCCCCGAGCCAGCAGACGGCACCTATCACAGCACGAGCAGGCTGTTTCCTAAAGGAACAAAGCTAGAAGCACAGACATCGACAGATATTAGGGTCTGATTGGGCCCGAACCCACCGTTCTTGCTCGGTTGTTGTGGCCGCTGAATGCGAATGTAATTATAGATCGGCCCCTCGCACCCCTGCCGCCAAAAACCACATCGCCGGAATCCTCGTCTCCCTGACATCAGCTCTCAACCTCACTGTCAACGCTCGCCATGATTGTTTCGACTGTTCTCAGTATTCCGAGGCTTCTACAGTGCCTCTAGCCGCGCAGCAGCATCTTGAAACATCGAAAGGCGCGAGGCTGGACTCGCGAACCGCATGATCCCGCGAAACCAGCAATAACCAGACAATTTGTGCGCCGTGTCTGTCGGCTCTCTTTGTTCGATATTTGCTGCTCCAGTGGCATCGGAGCCTTTCACAGAATCGAGCCCTAAAGCATTCATCCCACGAATATCCTTCGACCACAAGGCGGCCACTAAATCGCCAAATCTAAGAGTCTCACTCGAGCGAGTTCCCCAATATCGAAAGAGAAAGCTTTCTCTCTACAGTAATCAATTCATGGAGAATCCATTTTGCAAACGACCTGTCCGTCTGCATTATTTCGGCCCATTTTATTCCTGACATCGCAACCAAGTGAAAAACGCTCCCATATTTTCACAAAGCGGCGACCGACAAAAGCTCCAGGTTGCTGGTCAACCATCTCCATCCTTCTATCCTCAGTCTGCCAAATCCGTGTCGCTGGCCGACATCTTCTCGTGCATACCGAGACCCTCAACCCCACCAACAACATGGCCGGCTCCAATGATTCATGGATTCGCCGGCACGATCTGACATGGTCCAAAATGATCTTCTATGTGTTCTTTTGGGCAGTACATTTCGGACTCTTTGGCGTAGGATGGTACGTTATTCATTAAATGGCTATATATCTCACTAACAGCGGTGCAGGTACTTGCAAGCAACGAATCAAAAACTGGCTGGTCTAAACGTCCTCACATACTCTGTTTGGATCTCAAGAGGTGCAGGCCTTACCCTCTCGATGGATGCAACCTTGATTCTACTTCCAATGTGCCGGAATATCGTGCGATGGCTCAGACCTCAGATCCGATGGCTGCCGCTCGATGAGTCTGCCTGGTTCCACCGTCAGGTTGCCTACGCTTTGCTAGTGTTCACTGCCATCCACACTGCCGCCCACTATGTCAAGTATGCAAACCATACCCTGGGAAAAAAACCACATTGTTAATACATCATAGTTTCTACAACATTGAAAAAAACCAGATTCGACCCGAACTCGCGGTGGAAATCCACTTCACTCAAGCCGGCGGTGTTACAGGCCACGTCATGCTGCTCTGTATGATGCTCATGTATACGACGGCACACGCTCGCATTCGACAGCAGGCCTTCGAGACATTTTGGTATGCTCACCATTTGTTCATTCCATTCATGCTGGCCCTCTATACCCACGCCACTGGATGCTTTGTGCGAGATACTGTCAGCCCCTATTCACCGTTTGCCGGGAAACCCTTCTGGGACCATTGTATAGGCTATGAAGGCTGGAGATGGGAGCTGGTGGCGGGCGCCATTTACCTGTTCGAGCGACTCTACCGTGAGATTCGATCTCGACGGGAGACTGTGATCACGAAGGTGATCCGCCATCCCTACGGTAAGACAGTTCAATGCCTCGAAAATGGAGAAAATGCTAACGCCGCAGCAGCTGCCATGGAAATACAATTCCAAAAACCCAGTATGAAATACAAAGCTGGACAGTGGCTTTTCCTTCAAGTGCCAGACGTGTCCAATACACAATGGCACCCTTTCACCATCACCTCGTGCCCCTTTGATCCGTATATCAGCGTCCACGTCCGTCAAGTAGGCGACTTCACACGTGCACTCGGTGATGCTCTTGGATGTGGACCTGCACAGGCTGCAGATCTAGAAGGCCTAGACCCGCTAGGCATGTACGAAGTGGCCCTACAGAACGGACAGATGATGCCCAGACTCCGCATCGATGGACCGTATGGAGCACCGGCCGAGGATGTCTTCGAGAACGAAATCGCCGTGCTGATCGGCACCGGCATCGGCGTGACGCCCTGGGCGTCCATCCTCAAAAACATCTGGCACCTCCGCTCAAGCCCGAACCCGCCGCGCCGTCTGCGCCGTGTCGAGTTTATCTGGATCTGCAAGGACACTACGTCGTTTGAATGGTTCCAGGCTCTTCTCTCTTCCCTCGAGGCCCAATCCGCCAACACGGCCGCCAACGAGGGTAGTACCGAATTCCTACGCATCCACACCTATCTTACACAACGTCTGGACGACGACACTGCCGCCAATATCTACCTAAACTCCGTCGGCCAGGCCCTTGACCCGCTGACGGAATTGCGCAGCCGGACCAACTTCGGCCGCCCAGACTTCAAGCGTCTTTTCATGGCCATGCGTCTCGGCTTGCACAATCAGTCATACATTTCTGGTCTTCAGAATACACCAACCACCGAGATCGGTGTGTATTTCTGTGGTCCGAATACTGCTGCCAGACAGATCAACGATGCGGCCAAGTCTTCATCGACCAAGGGTGTCCGGTTCAAGTTCTGGAAGGAGCACTTCTAGCTTCTGGGCGTTGTGTCTTTCTTTGCTGAGGTAGCGTTATATATGATATCATGATTGACGAGTCTCTCTGCTGTCCTGTGTTGTTTGTTTGGTTATTTTTTGAGTTATTGGGTATATACACGATGGACAATATCTACGTCCTGTACTATAGTTTTGACTACTGAAAATGCACCACTGCAGGTCCCTTACGGTCTCTTTCTTCAATTGTTGAATCGTCAGTGCTGTTCATTTATTCATGATTTATCTAATGTACAAGGGTAGATAGAATACAGAAGGGCTTCTGTGCCCGGTCATCTTCAATGTTTTGGAAACTCCAATGGTTATACCTTCTCATCACCACTCCCCGGGTCATCTGGTAGATCGACCGGAGCCACCAAAGCTGAGTTAGCAACGGCGCCCTGGTCTTTTCGCTTGAGCTCGTAGAGCATGTTCTCGAGCTGGGCCCCTATGTCGACGTGAATGCGGAGTTCCCGTTCATCAAGAGCATTGTACAGATCACAAAGCTCATAGAAACCCATTCCGTCTTGGTTATTTCCAGTCGGGGAATCACCTTCCAAGATATCCGCTCGCAGATGTTCAAAGGCAAGCATGATGAGCTCTTTGGACCACGGACAAGAGCGCAAACCGCGATAGAACACCTGCTTGGCACGGCGAGCATCCTTGTTGGCGTAGAGCTCGAAGAGAACATAAAGTTTCCACAAGCTCAAGTTCGACCGGGCCGTGCTGGCATCTGCACTGTGGCGGGCTGTCGGATCCCCGGGTGGAGATTGGTCACCGATTGCTCTCTCGAATGCAGCACGCACAGAGTGGACCGTGGAGCCTCCCACTACCGGGCGGCTCAGCTCGTGATATATGGCAAATAGGTGGTTTGAGACTGGAGTGCTCTGTGAAGCGACGGGCGAAATTGCAAAAGTCTCAAGACTGTCGAATGCGGTGTTGAGATTTCCTCCACTAGGCTCTCGAATGTTTCGCATACGATCATATATGTGGAACCGAGACTTGTGCCAGGCCAGAAGTGATAAGAACATGGTGTTTCTGGGGAACAGAGACACGCTCTCTTCAAGTAAGATGCGAATTTGTTCGGGGACGAACGTGCCATGTCGTTTGATGTGGTAATGGATGAATTTGGCTCGCGCCTGGTGCAGTAATTCGGCTGTGAAAGCCTTGACACTTTCTTCCTGCAGAGGTAAGGCCGCGAGACGGGTGACAGCAGAACTGTAAACCTTGAGTGACTTTTCGAAGGCTAATACATCTGCGAAGTAGACCAGGATCGCGAGACAGTCGCTGTAAGCGGCGAAGACTTGGGGTTTCCTGTACCCAATCGCGGTTTCCTGTGCGTTGGACAGATACTGTAAACGATTAGTGCCGATTTTCACTATCGCAGAGCAGATGTACTAACATTCTGGATCCGCAGGAGGTTAGTTGCAATGAATTGTTGTGGACATTCATCTGCATCAAGTTTCTTCAAATCAATGCTGTTATGCGGCATGGCGTGTAGAAGCGTTCGTACACGGGAGATGTCTTCGCTCTGCATGCACTCCCAAATCCACGTATTCCAAAGAAGGCCGCAATCGATTCGGTCTCGTTCGTCAAAGCTCGATGTCATTGATAAGGTTGTGGACCACACATGTTCAGCAACCGAAAGACTACCAGAACGATGCTGCATCAGCGCGAAACAGTTGTAAAGTCGCATGTTCGATGATCTCTTTTTCAAGAGCTGTTTTGCGTATCTTTTCGCCACATTTAGGTCGCACGCAAATTCGACTGCCAAAGAGTACTCGGCTAACTCATCGTCCTTAGGATTGGCCTCCACCAGAGACCTGAGGGACAGGCGCACCCAATCCGAGTTGATGACAGATGAAGGGGTTGAGCTGGCCATCTTCCATGCTTCAAATGAAGCAAACCACGAACCGGGGTCTGCAAAGTAAGTGCTAGTGGTGTGGAGAAAGCTGTGATGTCGAAACAAGAATGGTGACATCGAGGGCGTAGATGCATCGTTTTCTACGCGAGTGACCCACTGCTCGAGGTGATAGAGAGGGTTGTCCAAGAATTCGTTGCGCAGGAAATTGTCCCCACTCCACAGACGAGTCGTCTGTGAATTCTCAGCAACTGCCAGATGGGGCAAGTGACAGAAGTACAAAAAGCCATCGATCAGCTCATCCACGGATTCTACGTCCCAGAACAATGACAGAATCTCCTGCAGGTCGTCGAAAAGAACCACTCGGCTGAGATCATCCTCGTCCCCTGCGTCCAAACATCGAGCAGGCATTTGACCATTGTGGATCCGCTCCCGCTCAGTCTCTGCCCAAGAAGAGAACATCCGCCGGGTCTCCATTTTGTGTTGGTAATCCCGCGTGCCAGGTTCAACCTCCGGCCCGTTTCCATGCTTCCAGCCTCGCGCACCTTTTTCTCCAATGCGAGGCCGTTCAGATTCCCAGAATTCCTGGAACAGTATAAGAGCCTTTTCGCGATGGCCTTGTATGAGAGACTTCGGCCGGAAGCAAGTAAATTCGAGAATAGCCTGCCAGAGAGCCACAGCCAGTTCCAGGAAACCCGCTTCTCGAATAAGGAGTGTTAAACGCAGAAAGAGGTAGCTTTGAATCTGATTTCTCTGAGCCCCGGCTGCGTTGGATGCATTGAGTTTCAGGCATTCGACGAAAGTATTCACAGATCTGGAATACGTGAAATTAACAGATTCAGTCTGGCGAAAGTCGAGGTATTTGACCCAGAGACTGATGAACCCAGGGTGTGCCTTGAGAGCGGCTTCCCATTGTGCCGCGAGTGTTTTGGTATCCCAGATCTTCCCTCCTTCCTCCAATCGTCCGAGTAACAAGCGAACTGTAAGAGGAGACTTGCCGGCTTTTTTCAGAGCTTTGTCGTAAAGGCTAAGCTTGATATCGGCCAAGCCCTGCCGCTCGGCGTAGGTTAAGGATTGATTTTCCGCTCGCGAACCACGGATAAGAAGGTCTTGATAGTCGATGAACTGAAGCCACAAGCTGACGTCGTGAGGGTCATTCTCCACAGCCCGAGAAAGCTTCGCATTGTGAAGTCGGATCTCAGTGTCCGGGTCAGACCGAGCAGTCTCATCGCCTTCAGATTCCGAACCCAACACGATCTCTTCATCGCTGGAAAGTATGTCTTCAGGCTTCGCTTTGCCCAGGATGGATCGGTAGGCATGCCGCTCATCATCAGAGTGGATTTCGCCTGCTGTGTGTTTGGGACGCCTGGTCTTGAATGGAAGGTAGTCTTTTGCTAGGTTTTCTGCAGGACAGGAAAGAGAGTTCGGCCGTATGCGGACGTGGTCTGTGGTCCGAATGCGAGACTTTAATAAAGATTTGGTTGAGCCGACGGCCCTCGCAAACTCTGCTGAAGGCTTCAAAACCACTTTGTCGAGAGTGGTCAAGTCACGATCAATGCGGTATGAGGATGGAATACCGATGACAAATCCTGCACCAGTCCGGAGATATTCAGGTATGCTATATCTGTGAATTGTGCCGTAGGTGATGATGTCCCGATCGCCCTTGCGGTCGATGACATAAATATCGTTCGTCTCGTCGGGAGACCTAGCACGGGATCGTTCAATAGTGTTCGAGGAGCGGACTTTCTCATGCTCACGGCGCTTTTCCGAGCTCACCGCAGAACGTTCGTTAGACCGACGGCGCTTGCTGTGGGGAGAGCGGGTGCGATGCTCCGATCGATGTGAACGATGGTCCCTTGATCGCTGAGGCTCTTTTCTATGCCCCCGATACCCCTTCCCCTGATCCTCACCGTCACGGCGACGACGTTTCGGGTGGCGATGGTCCTCGTGGTCTCGTTCGGAGGTCGCGCCCTCGCGATCTGACGCGCGTTGGAGCTCCGGCGGAGCTGGCGGCGGCTGCTTGAAGCTGGCAAACCGCGGGACAGACTTCTGATCCTGAGTTAGCATCCCGCAGTCGCAACAATATCGGTCATTTGCACTCACCCCGGCCTCCATCGTGGTGGATGGCAGCGAGTTGTGCTCGGTTTAGTTATCGCGGACTGCGGCAGATAAAAGATACCGGAGAAACGTTGTTGCGCCAAGCAGAAAAAAAAGTTCCCGCGGATCAACAGTTTCTGAACCTGCGACGACCCCAGTAGCGATGGACTCGGCCCTGTGATATTTACCAGTCACCCATAATGGCCTCGTCCCTTGCAGCGCAGCTGTCGCAAATTGCGGCAAAGTCGACTCACGAGCTCGACTTGAAAGCGCAGAGAATCTCGCACTCGCAATCACTGATCTTCGACCAGAAGGTTGCCGGGTCGCAGGATTTCGACACGATCTTCGATATCTGCTATGAAGGGTTCCACGAACTGTGTTCCTTGGACCCCCGTTTCACCGAGTTTGAGCGCTCGATTTTCAGCGAACAAAGCAAAGCCGAAGACCGAACCCAACTAAATGCGGCCCAGAACCAGGAACTGGACGCCGTGATAGAGGCTTTTCTTGCTTTGGTTGGAGGCAGATTACAGCTGAGCCCCGCTGTCAAAGCTGTGGATTGGCTTGTCAGACGTTTTAGGTACGGCAGACTTCTCCCGTCTCGGTTCGATGGGGGTGAGATGGAGCTAACAAAAATTGCAGAATCCACGAGCACAACCTTGCTTGCGTTTTGTTAACCTTCCTTCCCTACCACACGACTCCTCTTTTCCTCAACCTGCTCTCGATTCTGCCGGACGACCTAACCCCGACTTTCAAAGTCCTTTACCCGTACAAGAACAGTCTGATCAACCCGGCCAGACACCCTCTCGTGCACAGTGCCACTACGAACAGACCGTTTTTCTCGGCGTTGAATGAATATGTCCTCAAGGTGTGCCGACAGCAGGCGCAAAGTCATGCGCTACTTTCTTTCTGGGCCGGGATCGTCACCGAGGCAGTGGCTGCCATGCTGGATGCTGCTCGCTCGGGAAGGAGAGAAGTAGAGAAGCAAAAGCACGAAGATATTATCCTGCGCGTTCTTCCCGTCCTGAGCTCCGCATTCACGATGAAGAAAGTCTCCGAATTGATCATCAGCTCCTACATGATCAGTGTCGTCCTGGCCCAAAAGGCTTCACTTACGGACGACGTGGTTGATAGCCTCATGGAGAGCGTGGTGAGCTCCTGGACAGACGAGACCATGAGCTCCGGCCTTATCTGTCTTTCTGTTCTCGCACAGCAAAAGCCGTCGACCACCCTCCCCAAAAAGGTGTTTAAAGCTATTCTTCGACTTGACAATGCTATCAGCAACCTATCCGAGGTCGCCTCGCAATATCGAACATCCAATCTTTTGCTTTCACTGGTGGCTGGCTGTCTTAGCGACCTCGATAAGCAAAAGGATGACGCGCGACTAAATTTACTGTCCTCAATTTTCGACAAGAAACTGCTTAGCGACGTCGACCTCAGCAATGCCTTGACTATGGTGCTTGAAGCAGCGAGCAATTCCGACAAGACCCGCGGAATGTCTTTGGACATCCAGACACGCCTCGCTGACTTGGTTCAAGGGTTCAACCGGTCGGAAATTCTTCAACCGGTCCTCCAGAAAGCCTTGGCCGAACCATCCGTCAATGTCCCTGCCCTGGAACACAATCTACAGACTGTGGTTGAGGCAATTGTTCCGTCACCAGCAATTGCAGATGTGGAGATGGAAGATGCGGACAAAGATCAGGAAGCGGACAGATTTACCCCAGCTCTGGAATCTTTGTCGAAGAATACTCTCTTCTCCTCCTCTTTCCTCAGTGCGCAATCGATTCCGGACTTTGATAGCTTGGTGCAGACCTTCGTTTTGGGTGCCGAATCTAAAGATCGGCTTGAGCTTTTCACCAATTTGCCCGCTTTGGGCAAGACTGAGGCCACAAAATCCCCTCAATTCTTGTCATTTTTCGTCAGAGTACTCTCGGGTCCTTATCCTAATGGAACGAAGGTTGCCGCTTTGACTGTCATCTCATCCACTATCGCCTCCGCGCCTGTTGACTTTGACCCCCAAGCGCTACTGCCTTTCCTAGTTGTTGCACTTTCAGATCCCTCTGAGCGGATCCGCCGCGAGACAGCTGGCGTGTTGGCTGTAATTGGTTCCTTATACAAGAAAAGCAACAAGGCGGATGCCGACTCTAAAAAGCCGTGGGCTTATAATACGATTTATGGCCAAGGCAAACAAGCAGCGGACATTCTCTGGCTCTCGGCGCGTGATACGACAAAAGTGCTCGAGCGCGCATTGCTTCCGGCCCTGGAAGAGTGTATTCTTGACTCGAATCACGCTGGAAGAGTCATAGAGGCTGCCTTGCGAGGGACTGCATTGCATGAAGAGTCCGGTGGTGAGGAGCTGAAGAAGTCCCTTCGGCTTAGCCTTTTCAACTTCCTCTGCTCGCAAACGATCAACATGCCAACATTTGCACCTAAATTTGTCTTACTCTCGATGATCAACCATGTCGATAAGGTCTCTGGAACAACCCGAACTCAACAACTCCTCCCTTTGCTACAGAAATGGCGTGATTTGAACCAGAAGGCCGTTGATGAAATCTGCTCTGAGGAGCGCTTGTCGGCTATTGATATGGATCACCAAATGGCAGCCATTGTCACGTCCAAAGACAAGGATGCTATCAATTCCCTCTTGTCGACTGTCAGCTCTGGCGCCGAAACCCTAAGACCTTCATTTGTCGCCGCTTGTTTCGGTCGAATGAAGGAGGTCTGGACCAAAATCCCAGAGGATGGTCAGCTCTCCGTGTCCGAAAAATTGCTGGACATCTCACTTGGCATATCTACCGATAGCCCGTTGTTGGCAAACAGCTGCCGGGATGTCCTTCGCAGTGTTGAGCTTCCGGGGGCCGTCCTAGTTAACTTCATTGCGAAGATTCCTGTGTCTCTCACAGACATTGAAGCTCTTGGCCCTGCGCCCAAGCGAAGGCGCACCAGTCAGAACAACATGGTCGCCATGACTGTCAAGGATGAAGCTGAGCTCAGCAAGCTGATGAACAAGATGACTTTTATTCTCGAGATTGTGGATAGCTCTGCACCAGAATCTCATCCTGGGTTGGCCGGCGGTTTGTTCCAGACCCTTGCTGCTCTTCATCATTTCAAGTCACAGATCCAGTCTGGCATGACTTATCTGCTCAGTCTAACCTTGGGAGGCCTTTTGGCTATTGTTAACAAATCGAAGGTAAGAACCCATGTTTCATCTTTCCCTAGAAAATCACTGATAACTGGGACTAGGGAGCTGCGAAGCCTCAGTTTAATCCTTCGGTTATTCGCGCAGATCTGGTGGTGGATTGTGTACGGACGACCGACAGCCCTCAGGTACAAAATGCAGCCCTCCTTCTCGTGGCTGGACTATCTGTAATTGCTCCCGAGTTGGTGCTTCACAGTGTGATGCCGATCTTCACATTCATGGGCTCCAGCGTTCTCCGCAAGGACGATGACTATTCAGTGTCCGTAATCGACCAGACTATCGATCAGGTTGTCCCAGCGCTTATTCAGTCGTTGCGCAACCAAAAGAGAGATATTGTGTCTGGAACCTCGGAGTTGCTCCTCAGCTTCACTGCTGCATTTGAGCATATCCCATCCCACCGCCGTCTCCGCCTTTTCCATGCTCTGATCAGCAAACTTGGAACTCAGGATTTCTTGTTCGCCGTGTTGGCAATGCTTGCAAATCGGTACTCAACAGAAAAGGATGTTCTCACGCTCATGACGGGCCTGGTTTCGGATGCCAGTGCTGTTGTGGAGCTCACTACCTACAGCAAGTATCTCAACCTCGTCAGCGATGCACTCAAGACCAAGCCCGGTATCTCACGGGTTCTGTTGGGAATTGGGAGTGATGACGGGCGCGACCCTCACAAGGTCGCTGTCGACCTGCAGCGCGTGTTGGCTCACCTGCTCAAACATTCGTCCCTCAAGTCAAAGATTGAAACAGCCTTTGAATCGGAAGGTGAGAATGCTGACCAAGTCCGCGGCTGTTTCTCTCGCATCTTGGAACAGGTTCTGGCCATTGGAGACTCGGTGCAAAGCATAAAGTCCGTAAGCCAGGCGTGTGGCGAGGTTCTCGGCTCCTTGTTTAGTACTCTGTCTCTTGTCGACTTCTTGGACACGATTGAAGTCCTGCTCCAGGGACCAAACGATGAACTCCGGCGCAAGGTTCTCCGTCTCCTTGAGAGTCGGCTGCGCGGGAACCCTGAGCGTGACAGCGTCTCTCAGATCCGTGTCCTTGATTTCCTGCCCACCTTGGTGCATATTGTGGAATCATCGCCCGATACGCTCCTCAAGCATGCTGCTGTCGCTTGTATCGATCGTATCACCGACAAATACGGCAGAAAGGATCCATCGAAGGTCATCCCTGCTGCCAAAGTTGTTGCAAGTGCTTCTTGTATCGGCCAATCTGATGACCGCATTCGGATCATGGGTGTGCTGTGTCTTGCGTCTATGGCAGAGGTGCTGGGTCAGGCCATGATCCCTGCACTTCCGGATGCTCTGAGCCAGTCTCTGAACTTGCTCGATCTCAGTCTTGCTCCTGGAAAGGAAAACTCGAGGCTGCACGATGCCGTGTTCTCTCTTTTCTCTGCCCTCTTTGTCCATCTGCCCTTCATGATCTCGGCTGGTCACTTGGACAAGGTTTTGCTTCTCTCATTCAAGTCGGCCAATTCTGATATGGAAGAAAGCGGAGACGATGGCCGTCAAGAAGCTCTTCGGTTGATGGCACGAAAGGTTGATGTGAGCGCGACCCTTGGTGCAATCGAGCGCAATTGGCAACGTGGGGTGGAAGTCGGCCCGGCAGCCACCCATGAAGCTCTGCAGATTCTCAGTGTCGCTGTTGAGAAGCATCCCAAATCAGTCATTGCCAAGAACATCAACGTTCTCACCAAGATTCTCTTCAAAGCCTTTGATCTGCGTCGCGAGCAAGTTGCACTTGGCGAGCGTGCCGTCTTTGACTCTGCCGATATTGACGAAGTAGAAGCGACACTCAACGACGTCACGATCAAGATGATTTACAAGCTCAACGACAGCACATTCAGGCCCATCTTTATCAAATTTGTGGAGTGGGCCACCACTGATGCGTCCAAGAAGGATCAACAGAGCCGAGCAGCACGACTTACGACGCTCTACAAATTCCTCCAGGTCTTCTTCGGTACTCTTCAGTCAATCGTCACCGGTTACTCGAGCTACATTCTTGAGAACGTGGTTGAGGTGCTTGGCATGGCCAGTCCAACCGACAAAGCTTCAAAGTCCCTTTGGTTGGCGTCACTGCGCATGCTGCACAATTCCTTCGAACATGACCAAGATGATTTCTGGCAATCTCCTTCACATCTCGCCAGTATCTCCGGGCCTCTGATCTCACAACTGGGTCACGCTACCAATTCATCTACTGCAAAGCTGGTCATTTCCGAGGCGGTTCCTGCCATCACGGAGCTTGCCATCGCTGCCGATTCAACGGATAACCACAAGGAGCTTAACTCTGCTCTTATGAAGTACCTGCGCCCTTCGACCGCCCCTAATGCTAGGTCGGCTGGCGGTGATAACCCACATACCCGTCTTGCGGCTTTGAAGGCCGAGCAGGCGCTCACCGAGCAGCTTGGTGAAGAATGGCTTGCGCTCCTTCCCGAGATGCTGCCGTACATTAGTGAGTTGATGGAAGATGAGGACGAGAACGTTGAGAGAGAAGTGCGGAGGTGGGTGAAGCAGATCGAGGGGGTGCTTGGCGAGAGACTCGATGATATGTTGACTTAAAAGGAGTCTCGTTGTTTGCCGTCATCTTTGGTGGCCATGTAAAAAGATCCCTGCATTTTTGGAGTTTATATAGATGCTTGGACAGACAGGCACTCAGTTCTAGAACAAAAGTACGTTCATTCCCATGATTTCTTCATCACGTATCGCATTTCTACGAAAGGATAAGGGTTGCAATTTTGACATCGAAGAGACAAAAATGGCCGACATTCCTGCGGTCCCTCCCTCGTCCTCTCATAAGTCATCTACAGAATCAAGTTTGACACTCAGTTTGGAACCGGGGCCTTGGCAGCATCGACACCAGCATTCCACCTGTACTTCGAAGCCGGGTGGTCCGCACGAGGACCGGACTGGCCCGGCTGCGCAAACAGATTTTCACGATACGTGCCCTTGGGCACCGCATAGTCATCCCAGAACAAGCCGCGTCGGCGAAGCTCAGGAATGAGGAGGTCGATGATGTCTTTGAATGAGCCGGGTTTGACGGCGTATGCCTAAGTGCAACAAGCCTGTTAGAGCGGAATGGGTTTTAAGAGTTCGGTTTATCATACCAGATTGAAGCCATCAACATCGGCTTCCTCGACCCACCGTTCCATATTATCGGCGACCTGTGTAGCCGTGCCAACAGGAGTGGCGCCGAGGCCGCCGACGGTGATGTGCTGGCCGACAGTGTTCTTGGTCCATTTACCGACTTCCGGCGTAGCCCTGGACCAGCCCTCCACAGCAGAACTAAGAGGTAGTCAGTGCTGGTTGATGCCATGTCGTGAGAAATCCACCTACCGAATGGCATTACTCTGCACGTGCCGCAGCTCCTCTTCGTCTTCATACTTGTTCAAATCGATACCAGTCCAGCCTCCGAACAGCGCGAGAGCACCATCAATAGATCCAAGGCTGCGGTAGTACTTGAACTTCTCAAAGGCTTCCTCCTCTGTCTTGCCCAAGACCGGACACAGAAGGGCCAGGAACTTGATGCTTTGCGGGTCACGTCCGTACTCCGTCTTCGCGAGCTCACGGATCTCGGCCACGTTCTTGGCCACCACGGACGGGCTGTGGCCTGCCACGAAGATGGCTTCCGCGTGCTGAGCCGCAAAAGTCTTGCCGGCCTTGGAGGTGCCGGCCTGCAGGATGACGGGCGTGCGCTGCGGGCTGGGTTGACAGAGATGAGGGCCCGGCACGTTGAAATACTTGCCGACGTGGTTGATCTCGCGCACAAGCTCTGGGTCTGTGTAGATGCCGCGCTCACGGTCTAGGACAACGGCGTCCTGGCGCCATGATGATTCCCACAGCTTGTAGGCTACTTTGATATACTCCTCCGCAACAGCATATCTGTCGTCATGCTGGGGCATTGTTAGTTCCGGTTATTCATCGAAAACAGGAGATATAGAGCTTACATGTGGCTGTTCAGCTGCACCCATATTCCGAGCAGCTGAATCAAGATAGCCGGTGACAACCTTTATATACGTATGTCAGTGTTTCGTGTGTCTTGAGACGTTTTGAGCCAAGCTTCAAATGACACTCACGTTCCATCCAACCCTGTAACAAACTGTTAGCTACGTATCTTGGTGAGCGACTGGGCTTGGTTTCGCCTTACCGTCCTTTTGTGAGGTGATCAACAGTAGACAAGCGTCTCGCAAGATGGTAGGGTTGCTCATATGTCGTGGTGACCGTCACGCCGAAACCGATGTTCTTGGTCACCGCTGCCATAGCCGGAACGACAGCCAGCGGCTCATTCACTGGCCACTGAGCACCCGACACAACTGCTGGGCCAAGATTTCTGGGTCCTTTGTAGACATCGTATCCTCCTGAAGAAATAGTGGTTGTGTTAAATCTCAACTCAAAGCAATCCACGATGCGTAGCTACTAACCTAATACGTCTGCGATGAAGATACCGTGGAATTTGGCATCCTCCAGGAGCTTCGCTAGCTCGGTCCAGTGGTCAACATCATTGAATCTATGAGACTCGTCTTCTGGATGGCGCCATAGACCGGGGGATTGATGGCCACTGCCTATAAACTGAGTTAGATGCCAAAGCGGACCAATCTGGCGCGATACTAGGTAGTAGTACTTACACATCTCAACGAAGGCATTGAGGATGAGCGACTTGCGGGGCTTATCTCCCGATGCATTTCCATTCGTAGCCATGATTGATGTTCGCGTTTTGTTCTTTGAAAAGATTTTGGTGCGTTGGGAGGGGCTCGAAACAGTGAAGCTGATATGTACAACCAAGCCCTAGCGCAATGAACTCGAATCGTCTCACTCAAATGATTTTCGGCGAAAAAAGATCATGGAGGGGTCACAGCCTCAAGAACAATTTCAATAATTTATCACAATAACCGAGGACCTCAATCGCCTCATTCCCCGTGTACGTCACTCCAAACCTAGAATCCCCATAGCATCAATGTGGGCCATGATGGCGCGATCCGGGAGATCCTGAGGGGCCTGAAAAGGGGCAGCTTTCAATCTCACTGGGCAATATGGGAATAGGCTTGAGCATGTGCGAGCTACCCTGCAGGTACTTTACCCCTTTTGCCTTTTTCTCGGGCGAGAGATGTGAGATCCGCTCTGATGCGATGTTGTAGGGTTCTGGATGGAGACACCCCGGGCCCCCGTGTCCATTTTTAGCATGGACAGATGGCCCAGCCATTCGCTTCCGGTGCATCACCGATGGTGTCAGGCTGGTCACCGGTTGTTCATTCCGAATTAACAATTACATCGGTTGGCCTGTCAGTGGTGATTGCCATGCAGGCCTGCCCTTATCTTTGCGGCGACCGCGATGGCTGTTGGATAGACATCGTTCACCACAACTCGACTATTTTCTCCCAAAAGGTTCAACCAGAGATCAGTAAACAATCAAGTAAATTTTTCTCAAAAAAAAATCGCATTTCTTTGTATGACACCATATCGATGCCTATCAAGAACCAAAGTCAAACCCGACTTCGACAGCCGTATCACTTTGATGTTCGAGCACCTCATCGCCCGCATAAATCAAACCATTGCGGATCCAGCAATCCTCACTCGCTCTGACGACTCAGACCCCATGGATTCGCATGGCTCGGGATTCTGCACACCCCTGTTCTTGGGTACGGGGTGCGTGCTGCAACGATATGCTTTTAAGCATACGTGAGCCCTTGGCTTTCCATGCACTCGGTACCAAGTGTTGTTGATCGTGTGTTTATATTGCCACTTTGGCACGATATAAGTCTCACCGTAAACTGACCTGAAATTGTCCAATTTTACATATTTCTCAGTCTACAGTCTATATCGATTTGCAAACTCTTGCCCGTCATGTCGGACTTGCATGTTCGCGAGGGCAGCACGAGTATCCAGCCTCCTCTTTCCCAGGCGGTTGGATACATTGTTGTCCTTGTGGTCGGTGTCATTGTCGCTCTGGGTATGTCTTGCTGTCCTGGAAATCATCGAATTTGGACTTTGCAGCTCACAATTACCAGTCATGATGCTTATCACCAAGATCTTGAAGCAGACCACCGGAGAAGATAACGAGAAGACTGAGATGTAGGTCTTTTTCTTGCACTCCTAACTCCAAGCACAAACTCATGCACCCAATAGGTTCATGACAGCAAACCGAACGGTTCGAACTGGCTTAACTGCGTCGGCTGTGATATCGGTGCGTTCGATCCCTCGTCTGCTGGTTGTATACCGCCTAACATCTATCACATCTGTAGTCTTGGCTGTGGTCAACTGCATTGCTTGGTTCCTCGTTCGTCGGCTACGACTACGGCGTTGCCGGTCCCTTCTGGTTTGCCGCTGGTTGTAGCCCAATGATCGTGTTCTTTGCGTTACTGGGTATTTCTTGCAAGCGCAAGATCCCAGAAGCACACACTTCTCTCGAAGTGGTTCGTATTCGATACGGTAAGTTGCTGACATCCGCCCTACTGATCGAGTCTAAATTTCTTGCAAGGACGAACGGCCCACATCGTCTTCATGATCCTGTGTCTGATCAACAATATCTTCGCCTGCGCGAACATGCTTCTCGGTGCGGCCGCTGTCATCTCGGCCATGTAAGTTACTTGTTAATATCATAAGCATAATCTCGCTAATTGATAGCAGGTCTGGGATGCATATTATTGCCGCAACTTTCCTGCTCCCAGTGGGTGTGACGGTGTACACTTTTGTCGGTGGCATCAAGGCTACGTGAGTTGATCTCTATCTACCGTTTGATACATCTTTCTAACTTTCGTTGGACAGTTTCCTTACCGACTATTTCCATACCGCCGTCATCGTCATCGTCGCCTGTTATTTTTCAATCAAAGCCTTCACAAGTCCCCAGGTCGGGTCTGTGGGTAATCTATTTGAGCTCGTCCAGAATGCGGCTCTGCGTCACCCGGTCGTTGGTAATCAAGATGGCACATACTTGACGATGACGTCCAAGGGAGTACGTACTGGTCTTCCTCATTTCAATAAACCGGCTAATTCTCGTACTAGGCCATCCTATTTGGGATTCTCCATTGCTGCTCCAACTTCGGGTTGGTCATTGTAAGTAGAATCCGGGACCCAAGTCTAAAAAGGCATTACTAACTGCTCCTGCAGATGGACACCAGCTACTTTATCAAAGCATTCTCCGCCTCCCCGGCGGCCGTTGTGCCGGGATATACCATCGGCGGTATTGCCTACTTTGCCATTCCCTGGGCACTGGGAACCATTATGAGCTCTGTGGCACTGGGCTTGGAGAACCAACCTGACTTCCCAACATATCCGAGAGTAAGCGAACGCGGAGTCCCATGAACTCCAAAAGGAATATTGTGCTAATAAAGAACTCCAGAGAATGACCTCGTCCGAGGTCAGCAACGGCCTGGTACTTCCGTACGCAGCCATGACTATCGCCGGCAAAGGTGGCGCCGCAGCGGTACTTCTAATCACCTTCATGGCTGTAACATCTACCCTCTCGGCGCAGGTCATTGCCGTTAGCTCAATTCTCAGCTTCGACGTCTACCGCGAGTATTTCAAGAAGAACGCAACAGACCGCGATATGATTCAGTCCAGTCACC